TCTCTTTTACAAATTAAGCCCCGCTACGATTTGGCATCATGTTCGGTTCGGTTCGTTTTGCGGGCAGATTTTTTTGTACAATTCTATTAGGAATACCCCTCCGCTACCCCCGCCACCCCCGCCACCCGCTCAGCTGCAATCATGGCCAAATGTTTAACAATTAAATGTAACTCGAACCTGCTGAACTCTCGATGCCATGTTAATGTGCCCTCAATGTGAACCATTGGGCTCAACAAGGTCATCAAAGTGGTTTACATATGCTTATGGGATTTATGTGGTTTCGATTAGGATACACTTAAACTGGTTGGATGTTTTTCAATTTTAAAAATACGATTTTATAGTATTTACGATAGAGTGCAAGCTGTTAATCTGATATGGAATTGTTTAAAGTGAACATATTAGAGTTCTCTAGTGAGAAGTGCCCTACTAAATCCTTCTCACAATGAATGGAAAGCACTTTCCTCACTAACACTTGGGTCTTAGATAAGGTGATTCGTATATACATACATACATACTAAATGAGTTGTATTACAATATTGGGGAAGAACTGGCAGAAGTATCCAAACAGTTGAAGTACTCTATATCGGTTTATACTCTACGAGAACCTACATCTTTAGCTCCTATAAGCTCCGAGATATGTCTCATTCTGCCTCTAACATACATTTGCACATATACTTTAAGACCTTTCAACCCATTTAACAAAAGAGCGCTGTTAACTTAACATCGATCCAAATAAAATAAAAGTAATGTTCCAAAAACAAGGATTGAATCGCAGACATTGATGACTAGAATCTCATTACAAGTTTGATATGGTTATTTTTACCAAAATGATAATAAAAATAAGTAATGATAATAATAATAAATAAAAAAAAAATGCATTAATAGCAATACAAAAATAATAATAATAATAATAATAATAATAATAATAATAATAATAACAGCAATAATAATAATAATACGTAATAAACAGTGAATATATAATAATAATAATAATAGCAATGATAATAAAAATTACCATTAATAATGAAAATAATAATAATAATAATGAAAATAAGATTAACAATAATAATGATTATAATAACAATAATTACAATGATGATAATAATACCAGTAATAATACTGGTAATAATAATAATAACAATTATCAAAGTAATAATAACAATGATAATTATTAATATAATAATAATTGAAAGCGATTATAAATTAATTTAATAGCCCCAAGACAAATGTTAATTAGTTTAATTTGACTTTCAGTCAATTTCCAGCTGATTTGCAGACTCATATGCGACTGCATTTGCTAGATCGTCTTACGTAGCGCTGGGGGCCTATGCCAGATACTAATCGGTTTAGCTCTTGGACCTCACACACACACACATGCACAAATCGCTGCACATGCCAAGCCAAAATATGATCCTAAGCGAGCGGCGCGGATGGAGCGAAAGGCTTATGTCGAGCGCACACTTGGCTGCCAGAAACCGAATCTGGAGACAGCCAAAATGGGCGAGAAGAGGCAGAGCAGCAATAGGTATATGGGCATAAATATATATATATGTTTATATATATTCAAATATGCAGCACATCTAACTGAGGCAAATCGGCTTAGGGCAAAATAATCGCCGTTTGAAAAAAAGAAACAATAACAAAACAGAAAACACGCGCATCAACGACACCAGTTTCTGGGCCAAAGGGAAAGAGAGGGGGGGGGGGGGGGGGGGGGGGATCATACTGAGCTGCCAATGATTATAAACTAATAACAACAACAACAACAACTGCAACAACAACAACGCGCTTGCCACAGATTTTTATCGTGAAACCTTCGGCTGTCAATGTATTTTCCATTTGTCGCCTCTAATGACATATTTAAGGTGTTAATCGTCTCATTGCAACGCTGCTGCGCAGCGGATTTGCCCAGCACGGGGATTGTTTAAAGCCAGCGCACACACACACACACGCACACACGCACACACGCACACACAGATACACTTCTGTATCGGATGTAAATATTGATGTTGCGCTTATGCGCCTATTGCCTGCATTGACAAAGGACTTTTGCTTCGCATTATCCTTAGCCAGCGATCTACCTCTGCCCCTGCCCCTGCCACTGTCCCTGTCCCTGGCTCTGGACCGTGTCTCTCTATCAGTTGCAGCCGCTGCTCAGTCAATCGTGTTTGGCTTTATGGCGCATTATCCCCTAAATCGCAAACAAAACTGCAAACAAATTGCCGCTGCAAGCCCAAAACGCAGCAGTCAGGCTTAAGGCCAACAACAACAACAACAACAACAGCAACAACAACAGCTAAAGCATTTGGCTCAAAGGCCTCGCACCAAATTGGCAAATGGCCTCAGCTAAAGGCATTCATGGAAATGAATCGACATCGATATTTAGCCAAATATGCGTCTAAGCTGTGTCTAGTAAATCCACACACACACACACACACACACACAAGCAAAAAGTGCATTTGACATATTTACTTGTTTAACTTTTACTTAAGCTCAGCTGCTCAGTTAACATGCAGCAGTTACTATTTAGCCAAATTACAGGGTATTACTTATGCATGCATTTTGCAGCAGCAAAAAAAAAGATATTCAGCGCGTCGGCTTGTTTTATACATTTTCCTAAAAGCAGCAGTTCAAAAGGTTTTATTTAGAATTCACGCATTTATGCAATATGTTTCTATATATATGCACACACACATACATACACACACACACATATATATTCAGGCTGCACTATTTTAAGCGTCTGCGCATTGCTTTATATACTTGCTTCAATTTTTACCGCTTAATGCGCGCATGTTGAACCACTGTGCTGTTTGCTGCGCGCTGATTGGCGCCGCCGAGACGAGCCAATCAGCATTAAGCAATTTGAGCTGCTTGCAAGCAGTGCCTGGGCTAGAACAATGTTCAGCAAGCAGCTGGAAATTCCCTTTGGGAACTTATTGCTTTTACAATATGGAAACAACTGTTAAGCACTCTTACTAACAGCTGTAAATACTTCGCAGCTGCATCTATAACATCTGTTAGCTATGTTATGTTAAATAATAAACACAATAGCAGCTCTGCTAACGGACAACTGCTTGGCGCCAATTAATAGCAAAATCCCTACGTAACAGGGAAATTCTATAGACAGGAAGCGGAAGCAGTTTAAAAAGAACAAAAACAAAACAAAGCAGAAATGTTAACTATAACAGAAAATGTAAACATTTGAATACGTTTACACATATATTGACGTATGCATACCCTGTATTCTTTGTTAGATTTTTGATTTTGCATATGAAATATGCGAAAACTACATTTATTCTAGTTTTGTTTTAAACCATTTTTATTTTTAAAAAAATTAACATGCCTTTTATTGTTTTGTAGCTATAATTATAATTACTAATTAAGTAAATGTTTTTGTTTTGTTACCTTTCTTAGCCATTTTAAATGTGTGTTTGTTTCGGTTTTCGGTTTCTTCTTGATTTTCCATAATATTAATCTATTAAAAATTCAACATGAAAGTTCAGCTAAAAAATTGCTCAATTGTTGCGTTCCACGTTAAACGTATTGATTTTTGATTTGTTTGAAAATTGATTTAACAATTTTTTGTTTTTAAACCCAGCCACATTTGCATTACTATTTATAACAATTTGTTCGTATTCTAATTAACAATGTTATGCAAGTGTGTGTGTGTGTGTATATTTAAGAAATTATAGTTTGAAAAAAAAATTGAAGAACTAAATTACAAATTAATCATATTAATAAGTTTAAGTTGAGCATTAAACATTAAGTGAACACAACAAAAAGTAAAATATATATATATATATAAACCATTTACATAATTGGCTAGAGTTAACTACAGGTATGTGTGTGTGTGTGGGTGTGTGTGTGTGTGTGTGTTGTATATAAAATGCAAGTGCTGCAGGCCCTGCCAAATAGTTGACTGTGCTAACAAATTAACAACAAATTTGATAAAACTAAATTTCAAGAAAACAAACAAAAATTAAACCCAAAAGCTTTACAAATCTTAAATCGAATATATATAACAAACTAAATTAGATTATGTTATTTGATTTAATTGTATCTGTTGCAATATGCAGATAATTATCTGTTGCCACTCTAGAAATTGATGTGAACCTCATGGACGGATGTTTAATCTGAAGTAAAAATTGGCGCACAGCAGCTCAGCCAGAGGCTGCATACAACCCCCGAGTGATGTCAGGCAAAGGGTATTAGAGGAGGGAATGGAGTGGGGGGCGGGGGGGTTTACAGTTCAGATTAGTAGACAGGGAGCGAGGGGGGGGATCACAATTTTGATTTAACACTAAAGTTAACTATACGCTAATCAACATTCTGTTTCCGTTTCCGTTTCCGTTTCTGTTTCTGTTTTTTGCTTTTGCTTTTGCTTTTCGTTTTGTACAGTGTATACGCAAACGTGCTTCGTATCGTATATAGGCATCTAAGGCATAGTTTTTCATTTCATTTCATTTCTTTTGCACTATTAAAAACAAATTAAATTTTTCATTTACCAATTATTTACAACAATTTCGTATCACATTTGCATTTGTTTTCGTATTTTACAAAAGATTGTTTTTATGTTTTTTTTTTTTTTGTTTTGTTTTCTTTGACACAGTGTCGTTTGTTGTATGCATTCTTTTGAGCAGCACTGTGCGAATTTTCTTCAACCAGAAAACTGCGAGCTTTTGTAAAGCGCAATTTTCTTTTCTTTTAATATTTATAAGTTAGTTTAACTAGATGCTAAGTAAAAGGTACGAGTATAATAATATAATTCTTAAATTGTTGTGTGTAGCTGTCTGTGTGTGTGTGTGTGTGTGTGTGTGTGTGTGTGTGTGTGTGTGTGTGTGGCTAAAACAGTGTGTCCTGGCTATAACGTACAACTGTGTATATCAGTATTGCGTATATGGTATATATAAAGGTAATTATATATATATATAGATTTATCAGTAATTAAACTTGCGTGTTTATTTTGTTTTTTTTTTTTGCTGCTGCTCTTCCCCTTTCTCTAGATAAACTCTGAAAAACATAACAAATTGAAAGCCCTTAGTTATGGTCATATGTGGAGTATATGGACAAAAGAGTGCACAGACTTCTATATATATATATATATATATGCATGTATATGCATGTATATATGCTTGTCTAGCTGTTTGTATATGTATGTGTGTGAAATGCCTAGTTTAAAAACCTTGCGACGCCTTTGAGGCGCCCTCTGGCGTCGCCTACTTGCACTAAAAACTGTCGCTTTACGTATGACGTAAGCTTAGCTGCCAGTTAAACTGGCTGTTAAATTTATTGCCTTTTTCTTTTACTCAGCTTCGTTTCTCCTTCCTATTTATGTATATCTCCTATATATACACCAAAGACTACAGACTAAAAAATTTGCATTAATTAAGACTACATAACAGGATTTGGGTATGGGGCTTAAATGTTTGATTTCTCATTGGAAGAATTTGTAACTGAATTCTTCTCGTTGTGTGGGATTAGGTAACTACGTAGCTCTCATTGTTCATTACTTCTTTTTGTAAAAATTCTTGTTAATCAACTTTAAACTAGTGTGTTATATTTGTTCTCCTTCATCCGACTCAGTTTGAGCTATATATTGCATTTAGATAAATGTTTTTTGTTTTGTTTTTTAATGTGGCTGGCAACTATCAGTTGCCGCCAAACTGTGGCTGCTATTGGTGGCTCTTGCTGAGCAGATGGGCATTGAACTCGTAAACGTTGTTCAGCTGCTCGCCGCAGATGTTGCACTTCCACGGATTGCTCTCGCAGTGGCAGCCCTTGTGCAGAAAGTAGAGCGTCTCGTCGGGGAACTCGATGCCGCAGAAATGGCACGTGAGTATCTGCTTGCGGTTCAGCTGCAGCTCGCTCTCCTGTCCCGTCGACGTGATCGTTCCGTTGCAGATGGGCGTCGCGGAGCTGTTACCATTGTGACTGCCGCCCGCTGGCGTTGTGGGCGTGGTGGCGCCCGTGCCGCCGCCGGCGGCGCCACTTGCCCCGCCGCCGTTCAACATCGTCTGCGGCAGACTCTGCAGCTCGTGCTCCAGCGGCGTCGCATTCCGCGTGATCCGATTGTTCGCCTTTGCGCAGATACGTCGCTTCAGGTCCTCACGCAGCAGCGATTTGAGGGGCGAGACCTGCGGGGCAGGGGAGAGAATATGCATTTAGTAAAGTCTATTCAATGTTTAAGAAAGGGGCGGGGCAGTAAGCCTTAGCACAATAATTATTACTGTGTTTTTAAGATGGTAACAAAATGTTGTGACTTTCAAACTGTAACTTCAAAAGTGATTCTACAACTGTAATCCCGAATGTCAGACTCTGAAACTGTGACTGCAAAGCTGTGACAGTTGCTGTCCTGCAAGGAAATGGCTGAACCTAAATCTGGCTTGAATAATGTGTCTAACTCAAAGGAAAGCAGTTGGCTTTGAACCAACAACTTTTCGTATGCTGGTTCCAATTTGAACAGAAGCTACCTTAATCAGTGAGGTGATTCTGTTGTTGTTGTTGTTGTTGTTGTTGTTGCTGTTGTTGCTGTTGTTGTTGTTGTTGTTGGCAGCGATTTCCGTATCGCTGTTGGCATCGCAGGCGGCGCTGCCATTGAGCGAGTCCTTCTTGTCGGCATCCTCCAGCAGCGGCTCCTGGAAACAAAGGCACATTAAATAAAAGCTGGCGAGGATCGGGGGCGACGGGTTGACTCACCTGCTTGATGGGTATTAGGCTAATCGAAGGCGTTATGTGATTCTCATGATGATGATGTGGATGATGATGTGGATGATGGGGATGATGATGGGCATGGGAATGGTGGTTCTTGCTGCTGCTCAGACTCGCCGTCGTGCTGGATGTGATGGGCGTGGCCTTGCAGTCCATGGGCAGATCCTGGGGGGCCAGCAGCAGCGGGTGCTCCTTCAGCTGCTCGTTGGACTCCAGCTCCGTGTTGTTGTTGTTGCTGTTGCTGCTGCAATTGTTGTTGTTGTTGTTGTTGTTGCCCTGTAAGACAAAGGATTTACGCAAGACGCAAATCAGCTGGACGTACATGAGCAAAGGCTAGAGTTGGCTTAAATTGAGGTCGGAGCACTTACATTGAACAGCTCCGTGTTGCCGCTCTCGCTGAGCGTTGAGATCTCGACGTGCGGCGTGAGGAAGTGCATCGGAGGCGTCGCATTCTCCAAGGAGCGCATCGATTCGCCGCTGTCGCTCTGATGACTCGCCGGCGCCGAGGGCGTGGCCGCAGAAGGAGGCGGCGGCGGCGGCGCCACCGACTGCTGCCCCATCGCATTGAGCTGCGGCTGTGAGTAGCTGGCGGCAGCTGCTGCTGCTGCGGCGGCTGCGGCGGCAGATGCCTGCGATTCGAGGGCGAGCAGCAGGGAGGAGGTGCCGCCCGGGCCCGGATTGTCCAGATCGATGCCGTGCCTATTGAAGAAATGGATGCGCAGCGATTTCATGGAGCCGGCGCGATAGCTGCACAGCGGACACGTCTTGACCAGATCATGCTGGCCGACGTGCTCGTTCTGGAAGTGCGCACGCATCGCAATCTGGCGCTGGAAGCCGCGATTGCAGATGGGGCAATGATAGGGCAGCGTCTTCGTGTGCGTCGTAAAGTGCTCGGCGAGATGATCCTTGCGGAAGAAGCGCTTCTGGCAGACGCGGCACTCGTACGGCTTCACGCCCGTGTGCCGCATCTTGTGGCGCCGCATATTCGCCCCATTCGAGAACTTCATGTTGCACACATCGCACTCGAACACCTTGCGGGAGGCGTTCCCGCTGCCGCTCCCATTCCCATTCCCATTGCCATTCCCATTGCCCGCTGGCGAAGAGCTGGCTGATGAACTGGAGCCGCCGACTGCATCTGCAGCCGGTTCCTGTTTGCAGCTGTCCATGTGACTGACGCTCATGTTCTCGGGCTCCTCGTGGCCCTCGCTCTTCAGACGCACCGCCACCGCGGCCGCAGCCGCCGCCTGCCCGGCCAGGCACTGGACCACGTGCAGCAGGAGCGTCGCCCGCGAGCTCGTCTCGAAGTTGTCGCAGCGCTCGCAGCGGAATGTCATTGGCGGCGAGTGCGGCCCAGTGCTGAGATTCGTTGGCGTCGGCATCGGCGTCGGCGTCGTTGCCAGCGAACGCGGCTCCGGCTGCTCGGATTCCGATGCGCTCGCGGCGGCTGCCGCCTCCTTCAGGCTGCGCAGCGCCAGCGCATTGTGGTGCAGCAGCGCAGCCGTCGACGGGGTCATGTCCACGATCAGGCCACCCACATTTGTATCCTTCAGCGCCAGCTCCATGCTGCTGGCTGCTGTGCTAATCGCTTCGGCCATCTACAAAGGGATTCGGGGATTAGCAGAGATTCAAAAGGATGCACACAAAAAATAAACATGTCACACAGATAATTTTTCAAAGGGGAATTGTTAGAGTATCATCTTATTAGGCTGCATGCTCAATTTCAAAAGTCTAGCTTTAAAACTCTCCGAGTTAAGGCTCTGAACCACTTTTGAACCAGTTCAGGGAATTAAATGAGAGTGAAATAATAAAAGAATTATACAATTATCCTTCCAAAACTTAATTTTAACCGATTCAAAGCCAAATTCCAGCAATTTTAGGCATTGAACCACTTTTGAACCGGTTCAGAAAATTTAATGAGATTCCGATAATGAAGGGATTCTACATATCGACAGTCTAAACTTCATTTGAACCGCTTTAATAGCCAAATCCCAGCATTATTAGTCATTGAACCACTTTTGAACCGGTTCAGAAAATTTAATGAGCACACAATAATGAACGAATTGTACAACAGTGCTTCCAGAAATTCATTTGAACCGATTCAAAGCGAAATTCCAGCATAAAACCACTTTTGAACCGGTTCATAGTGTAAGAACTTAGACCAACTTAAGGAAATATTAATTCAATATTGAAAAAACGGTTGTTAAATATTGCCAGAACTACAGTACATCTCAGTTATAGCACTGAAACACTTTTGAAGATTAAAAGAACTATTAACCCATATACCTATATTATTTAGAGATTAAGATGAATTTACCATCAGGACAACTCCATTCATTTGCCTCTGCCAAAATAAGATACGAAGATAAAGCCCTGCGCTTTAGTATATAGACATTTTTATATTCCCTTTTGTAGCCCCGAAAATTGCATGGAGATCGGACTATGAACACCGAAGATCAACAGGAGAACATTTCTTATAGATAGTGTGAGAAGAAGAAGCACAACAAGGACCTGATTGCATGTGTGTGCGTGTGCATATGTGTGTGCGTGTGCATAGAAGAAGCTGCGAGTGCAACTGAGCCTAGAGTATCTCCTAGTCCTAGATTCGTTCTATATGTATTTGAAAAAACAAGCAACTAACTTAAGTTAATCCAAGTATTTGTCACCTGTTTCTAGCTAGTTAGTCGGTAATTTCTTGACAAATGCAGCTGTAATAAAACGAACACAGAAAACGGGGTCAGCATCTGGAGAGCCGAGCAATTTTGGCGACTCTCTTGGCTTTTGGCTAGCTGCAAATTGGCCAAGAACGACAAACGAGCCAGCACACACACACACACGCACGCGCGCACACATACACATATACAGACACAGATATAAGTTGGGCCGTAACCATTTTGGGCGGCCGCCACGTTGCATGAAAATACCAAAGTTATTGAGGCCAATTGCTGGTCTCGCAGGTGGGCAAAGCAGCTACAGATACAGCTACGGCTATAGATACAGATACAAATGCAGCTAAAGATACAGATACAAATGCAGCTACAGTTAGAGATACACACAGCGGCAGCTACATTTACAGCCAGTCAAAATGTTGTGTTGAATTCTTAAATTTAACGGCTGCTTTTTAGCTCTTCAATAGGTCAAAGTTGGGATGGTTTTTTTTTTTTTTGTAAAGAGTCAAAAACTAAACTGAATTCGAGATGAAATCAAAATCGACGAGCAGTTGTTGCAGCTAATTTGTGATGCGACCTTGAAGCAGATGTGTGTGTGTGTGCAGGTGTGTGCAGGTGTGTGTGTGTTAAATGTGCATTAGCATTAGCATTAGCATTAGCTGGTTCACAAAAGCCAGCTAAAGCCAGGGACGATCTTCAGCCAATTCCCCGCGCACACACGCGCACAAGGAGGCACACACACACACACACACACACACACACACACACATGTGTGTATCTATAGTCTACTATATGGTATATATATACATTCCAGCTCTGGGCCAGGTCATGCAAATTGAGGGCGAGTGGCATCATTTCATCATAAGGTGTTTTTTTTTTTCATTTAAGCCAAATGTATGCCATCCAAAAGTTAGGCCTATTTCCGAGCCAGCCGCATTTATGTAAATCATTTCAAATACACTTTGGCGCCTTTAAAAAAGAAATAATCATAAAATGTAAAAGCAACAATAACAGGTTTCATTTGTGCCCTTGCCACGAAGGGCATGCACATTTTATATAGGAATTTGTTGCCTTGCCAAAGAGTTGAAGAGTTCATGAATAACTTTTAATCAAATTGACTTTAATTACTTGAACTAAGCTTTTCTCCAAAAAAACAAAACAAAAACTATCTGAATTTAAATATTAAGCTACACGTTAGAGCATATAAATATATAGAAAGTGTATTTCATCTTCGTGGTCAACAATTTGTTTTTGTGTGTCTTAAAGCTTAAATAAGCTCTATAAAAAAAACCCACGAGATAGGGTATTTAAAACATTGTTCATTTTCGAAGCATTGAAACTTTATCTGATCTAACAAAAGATTTATCTTTATTGATTTCATAAAAGTCATTTTCTACATATTTATATTAGCAGCGATCTTTGAAAAACTAAAAGCAGAGCATTTCAAAGTCGTTTTGCTGCGGTTTTCTCTTGTTTTTCTAATTATTCTTATTGGAATTAACTTCAATATAAACACGTACATTCCTATTGGAACCACACACAAGCGGGACATCGCTTTTCTGATAAGAGTTAGGGTATTTGAGCTGCCGCAAAGATTTTCCTCTTCTTTATAAGAGTTAGGGTATTTCAGTCATCGCCTCAACAGCTGAAAAGTGTGTTTCACGTGTTTTTCCTATACATATGTATGTCTCATAAGAATATGTTTTTATTATAAGCACGTACATTCCTATTGGAACCACACACAAGCGGGACATCGCTTTTCTGATAAGAGTTAGGGTATTTGAGCTGCCGCAAAGATTTTTCCTCTTCTTTTCATGGCTTTGAACAGCGTCACACACACTCGTACACACACACACTCATGCACACACACACTCATGCACACACACATAATTTGCTGTTGCCTTTTGCGTCTGGTTAATTATGAGGTGCTTTGGTGTTTGTTGTTGGTGTTTTTTTTTTTTTAACGTTGAGCTTGGGCATTAAAATGCGAGAGTATTTTAATAGTTTGCTAGTTTGGCTAGTTAGCTGGCCCAATGGAGTCATTGGGTCAAGTTTTTAGAGAGCAACTGGGTCAGACGACGGCGGCAGCGACGCCAGCAGCGACGCGCGCTTGGGGTGTCCCGCATTTTCACGCGCTGCTCCCAATTGGCAAAATATACAAAAAAAAAAAAAACTTTAAATAGAACCTAAAAAAAAACAACAAGAAAAAAAGCTCCTTTGCTGCCTGCCAAAATGAGAGCACGCACTCACACACACACACGCACACACAGACGCACAGGCAAGCCAGCGCAGCGTCAAGCAGTGCAGAGCAAAGCAGCGCAGCGCGGCGACATAATTGGAACAATTTGAGAGCCCTTAATGACGTCGACAGCGACGTCAACGGCGACTGCGAGCGCTGCTGCTGCTGCCTTGTGGGCCAAATGTATCTTTCGCAGCTGTTTTTTTTTTTTTAATTCAAATTCAAATTTGATAAATCTTTTGTTTTGCGATACACAAAACGTTGGTTAATCATATGCACGGACCACACGCTGCCGAACACATTCACATAACCGATTTGACCTTAACAGCATTTGCCTACCGGTTTTCTAGTGGGCATCAAGATGAGGTCGCCCCTCACCTATTTGCCTTTCCCCCCCACCTCACTCGCCCCCTCTCCATGCCACCTCATCATCAATCTGCGCTTCACTGTTTCTGCCCCCATTCATGCGCCAAGAAAATGAGTCAGTCGGTCGAACGGCAATTTGTTGTTGTTTTTGTTTCTTTTTGCTTTTGCTTTGCGCTTTTTGCTTTTTGCCTTTTGCTTTTGCGCTTTCAACAGCCCGCAAATCAATGAACCATTCCCAAAGTGTTCCCCTTAAGTGCAGCGCTCAAGAACACGAAGTTCTAGTTGGTTTCGAGTTGGATGTAGGTGAGTTTCTCAAATAAGCAGGGTCTTATAAGATAGAATTTGAGTTGGTTTGAAATTGGTTTGCAGCCAATTAGCCAAGATTCTCACCATCTGCGTCCAATAAGAGCACGGTTGAGTGAGTTTCGAGTTGTATGTAGTCCAATAAGGCGGGCAATGAATTCAAGCTCCTTTTTAATAAGTCTGTCCTTGAGTTCGAATTGGGTACTGATCAGATATAACAAGTCTAATAAGTATCCGATTCTCAAAAAACGTTTAAATATCGACAAGACAGCTAATAGGTTTTGACTTGTGTGTGTGTGAACTTCTGATAAGACTTCATGCCGATTAGGTCCGACATCGAGTGGGTCTTAGATGTTTGAATGTGCGTAGCCTAAAAACGCAGCTGGGCGCAAGTCTAAGCTCGAGTTGGTTTCAGATTGGATGTGTGTGAGTGACATGTGCTTAAAGAACAAGAACAAGAACAAACAGGCACACGAGACGAGGGACAGACGGGCACGGGGCCGGGGCCGGGGCAGAGGGACTGACGAGGAGAAACCACTTTCCACGGTGACACACTTAAATGCTACGTGCTCTTTTGCTACTTTTGCTGCTGCTGCTGCTGCTGCCGCCGCTGCTGCTTTTATTACAGCAAACGTTGACGTTGACGTTGGCATGAAAGGCGACGTCGGCAGCGACTCTACTCCCATAATAGAAAGTGGAACAGGAATTTCCCTCCCAACATCAATGCCAATGCGGCGGCAGAGGCAGCGGCAGCGGTGGCGGTGGCGGCGGCAGCAACAAAAACTGCCGCACCGATGATTTCATTTTGGCTTGCAGCAGCAATGCCGCAGCAGCAGCGCCCGTCGCGCTCATTGCGAAACACTTGCCACGGCCAACAAGCAAATGACAACAGCAACAACAACAACAAGAAGAAACACACGCGAGAAAAGCAGGCAAGAAAAAAGGCGTAAAAAATAGTTCAATTGTGGGCAGCGCCAAACACCGCTCAGCTGAGCGCCAAGAGCAAAAGAGAGCGCGCCCAAAAGAGAGGGTGCGAGAGCGCGCGCGTGAGAGTAAGTAAGAAGAGAGCGCACCATATATCCAATTGGGCAGCTAGTTGGGACAGGCGGCATGCAGCATTTTTGTTTACGCATTGCTGTTGTTGCTGCATAGCTCGATAAATGTATATATATGTGTATATTTGTATTTCAAATTATATTTAAATACATAAATGCAACTGCAACTGGCCTAAACTTGTGCATTGACATTAAATAGCGCGCAACTTTCTTATTGGTTTCTAATTGCTGCTCACAAATTACAATGAAACGGCGTGAATTAGTTTCTAATTATTTATGGCACATGCTAGTCCCGTCTCGTCCCGTTCCGTTCCGTCCCGTTTCGTATCGTTCCGCACACAATGCGCGCTCTCTTTGGTAAGTGGCACTGGCTGGCGTATAATTTTTTTTCTTTTTTTTTCGTGCTGACCTAATTATACGCTCATTTTGATTCACTTGATTTTCTCTGCTCACACACACACACACACACACACACACACGTTAGTTTCGTCACTGCGACGACAAGTGGAGCAGCAGCAGCATTTTGCGGTGGCGTTGGCGGCCCATTGGGGCAGGCGGCGACCGCAATTCTTCTTTTTGTTTTTTTTTTTTTTATGGTTACTGGGACGTATATTATTGGGCTTCCCATAGATATGTGCTGGTACTCACACGCTTTATACGCTTATTCGCACTCTATTTATGTTTTGTATCACTTTTCGTTCTAGTTAGTTGCCAATTGCAAATTCCAAATTGCATTTGTTAACGTTGTTGTTGTTGTTTTTGTTTATTTTTTGTTATTGTTTTTTCGGCTGCCGCTGATCGAAACACCTGCGCAACGTTCCCACGAATTTCACTGCGCGCGGGGATTCTTTTCGATCAGTCGCCGTTGTCTCTCGCTCACGTCGAATTTCGATTTCGATTCCGATTTCGATGCCGTTGCCGCTGCCGCTGCCGATTCCGCTTATTGGCGCTGGCGTCGACGACGCGCACGAACGAACTGAAACCCAAGCAAACTGCAATAGCTGGTGGAAGTACAAAATTTCTGTGTGTGTGTGTTTGTGTGTGTGTGTGTGTGTGTGTGTGTAACAGCGACGCGTCGGACCGACAGACAGAGCGAGCGTCTCTTGCTGCCTGTCTGACTGGCAGTCTCAGTTTCTGTTTTGTTTTGGGACGGAAATGCCAGTGGCGTAGTCGCCGCTCCATTTTCGTACACCAAAGAGGGCTCAATAAGCTGACGCTTGGCCATGGTCCATGTCGCTTATTTTCTTCAGTTTGCAAATAGTAAGTTATGTTATACTAAAAATAAGTCAGTTAATAAGATAACATTTCCAGTTGTTTTTTTTTTTTAAGACAATTGTGGCGTTATAAAATCCCTGCATAACTCCCTCTGATAAACGGCGCCCCTGTGCAAAGATTTGCCAATCGTTGACGCGCTCAAGCTCTCAGTCGCAGCGCAGCAGCAGTAGCAGCGCAGCAGCAACAACAACAACAGTGCACAGTTGACTGGCACAAGCAGCAGAATTTGAAATTAGGTCAACAGGTTTAGTTGGTAGTGGGCCTGAAGAGCGCTCGGCGACTGCGGCCTATTCGCATGATAGTAACTAGAGTGTGTTATTGTTGTTGTTCTTGTTGTTGTTGTTGTTGCTTTTTTGTTTTTATGATTTGCTTGCTGAGTTTACCTATGCCGCGACCTCGGACTGTCGCTACCATCCGGGCATCCAGCGCATCCAACGCCAACGTCGACTTCGACGTCGACGTCGATGCCAACGCCGACGCAATATGCGTTCGCGTTTATTGCACCACAGTTGCAGTTGCAGTTGCAGTTGCGGGTGTTTGCAGGCACAATTTAAGCTTTTTTGCACACTGGCACACACATACACAGGCACACATGCACACAAAGCACGATGCATATGTGTGAATTGAGCACACGGCATGGTTAGAAGAAGGAAACGGTGTGGGAAGTGGAGGAATAGAAGGAAGAGGAGGCAGCGTGAGGCTAAGTTGCGCCCGTTTTCATTACATGCGATAGATCTTTTGCAAGCTCTGTGTGCGTGTGCGTGTCTGTGTGCGTGCATGTGTGAGCATTTGGGGGAAATTGTGTGCGTCAGTTAGTGCAAAATGTTGATGGGAATGTGCATATATGCACATGTGAATGTGTGTTTGTGAGTGTTTGTGTGGTGAGTACTGAAATGGAAACCCATATGCAGCCAATAAGAGCAGGCAAAACAAATGTGTGTGTGTGTGTGTGTGTGTGTGTGTGTGTGTGTGTATGTATGTATGTAAATGTGAATACATTTTGTCCATGAGACGCGCAGCATGAGTTGCCACACACTTCTTAGTTGGTTTCTATGTCACAATCAAACATACACACAGGGACAGACACACACACACATAGACGCAGATGCGAAAAGGTAAGAGAGACGGACAAAAACGAATAGTCGTAATGAGTGAGCCGCAGCAGCAGCACCTGCAAGCAGCGCGGCGCAGCGCAGCGGCCGCACCAGATAATCCCAGTAGAAATTGAAACTGGCTGCGGCAAGTTTAGAAACTGGTATAGAAATACACAGACACACACATACACACACACCCATACATGAAAACATGCATATATATAGAGGCAATCGACCTTGTAGGAGTATTTTGTCTTGGAGCGCGCGCACGCCCGTAACTGGGCCAACGCGATTGCACTGAAATCAGGTGGGCGTGACGTAGGTAAATGTTGGCCAATGCATAGTGTGTGACTGTGTGTGTGTGTGTGTGCGTGTGTGTTTGTGTGGGAACATTTTGGAAAGCAAGAAGCAGCAGCTGAGGCTGTCCGTACCCTTGGCTGCCACATAATCCCCACATTCACAGCACACATCCACACTCACACTCAACAAAATGCCTTTCGAAATGGCCACACATATTTAAGCATCTAAAATAGACACATGGATTTTCATAAGAACAACAACAGCAACAACAATAGACAATAACGGGCCTTGTGTTTGTTCTTGTTGCTAAATTTTACCTTCAGCGCAGCTGGAATATTTCGCAACCGTCTCCGAAAGGCGTTTGTATTTGGCAATTTTCGGATTTTGAAATACCACAAGGTGCATTCTAACAAGAAAATACACACGCACACACAGCTGCGCGCTCTCAGCACTCACACACTCACACAGAAGCACAGACACGCACACAGTCACTGCAATTCTTTGCCTGCTTGTTTCTCAATGGAAGTTGTTGATGGGCAGTTTCTGGGGGGCCGGGCTGCGCAAGGTGCAGCAGCAGCAGCAGCAGCAGCAATAACAACAACGAACTAACCTCCACTCTTGCTGAGCCGAAATAAAAACGCGCGGCTGTTTGTAGTGTTGTGCAGCTGTTTCTGGAGCGAACGCGAAAACCAAAATTCAACACTGTATTCGGAAACGTAACGAAACGAAAGGGCAAGCGCAGCGAGCAAAAGTTAAAGCTTAAATAATAAACAACAATAATAATAAAATAACGGACGCACACGCGTTGCCCACATCTGTATGGGCCAAAAGACGAAACAGCACTGCCGCCGCCGCGACGGCCGCTCTATTGTTGAGTCTGCTTTTGCTGCCGTTGCCGCTGCCGCTGTCTCTGCCTCTGCCTCTGCCTCTCAGTGTTGCAGTTTCGAGTCAGTCCCGCTTCAACTGCGCGCGCTCAGTAAACAAGTCGAAGCGATTTCGACGTTTCCTCAAGGCCTACAGATTTAGGCCAAAAAATAATGTACAACGCCAATAGTGGCAGATTGCTGGTTGCTGGGCCAGATCGGAGTCCGCTCGGCTCGGTTATGGTTCCCAACGAGTTAGCAATAACAATTGGCCGTCTGATGTTGGCTTCTTGCACAAAATGCAATCGTTCTAATTGCGCAACTTTATGCGGCCAATTGCTATGCAATGATGCGAAAACATTATATTCAAACTTGCCGCCACAGCGATAGCTTATTAGCTGCAGCTATCGTTATCGATAAGAACTAACTACCGTTTGGCCACGATTTCAATCTATATAAAGTATTTAGACATTTATAATGAACAACTTTATAAGCACAATTTTCAACTTCTTTATCATTCAATTTTATTTATTAATATGTACATGTGTGCTACTTTCAATAGTTTTATTTTCCATAAATTGTAAATTAACGTATCTGCGCCGCCTGAGCCATAAACAAATCTTTATTGCAGCAATTTATCAACTCCATTAGATTCAATAAAACAACAAAAGGTATTTTTAAAAATAAAGGCAACTGATCATCTTTCATTTAATTTAGCTTTATTATTAATAAAAAATTCATATTCTATTTTTCACGAAACACATTTTAATCGGCACCATCTTTTATTCAAAAAATTGTATTCGATATTTACTAGCCGTTGCACAGCACTGTTTTAATATAAGTGCGTTCTCGCATTTGCAGGTACTGAGGTTTGCTCCGCATTGAAAATTTGTTTACAAGTGAATTAAGCGCGTTAAATATACAAAAGTAGTGTAAAAGTGTACTTATACCCTGGTTTCACAACTGTGCTGTGTTTTCCCATTGATAACTGACGTTTGTTAAGCATAAAAATCAAATTGAAAATTTACAATTAGCCCGCTGTCTGGTGCCGCAGTCAATATAATTATACTGCCCATTGGTTTACATAAGAGCGAAAGGGTCGGCTAGTGTACTATTTGCAGAAATGGCGTCGAAGTGGTGCACATGGCCAAGTCGTCCGAGACAATGACTGGTGTGCACAGACCTATATTGAGCGATTACGCCCCCAATCTTAATCCTTGTATTCGATATTGATAATGCGAACGATATGTGAATTGTGTCTATTAGTATTGATAACAGTGTGTGTTCAATACATTTAAATGTACACCATTTTGTCCGGTTTTTGATTCCGCTTTATGCACATCATTCGGTTTCAATGCCCTCGCTTATAGTGTTGTCAAATGCAACGTGTGTCCAGTGCTGTGCAAGACCAAAATTCTCAACAACGTTTTCTCATTTGTTTATTGACAAGTTTTATTTAATGTATACAAAAGTCAAGTGCAAGTGATCTGTGATTTGCTAACTTTTGTGTAAATAAATCCCATGCATATTTTATAACACTTGATCTGCTTACCACACCAAGATATTTGCAGCTGGCAACACTGCATTTTGAACTCCAGCGGCGGCAGTGCGAACGAGACGCCGATATTACGCCTTAACGAAGACCGAACACAAAGCAAAGCAGAAAACCGAAGCGAACAGGCCCAAGAGTTTATAAATCAATTTTTTGTGTATGCAAGAGCTGTGCAATTCATACCGCAAATAAGGTATTTTTTCGGTGTAATGCAAGTGCGCATTTCATTATAGAATGCATATATATATACCAGTGCAACAAAATGAATATAATTTAATTTGAACTGTTTGGGGTTATTTAGTTACTGATATACCAAAAAAAAAAAAAGTGGCTCCATGATATGCGTTGGCGGTGGCGGCGGCGGCGGCAGCTGCTGGCTTGGCAATTCGAGTATGACAAAGCTTAATGATATGAGCAAAATGTGACGAAAATTATTATTCATCGCTCATCTTAAAGCAAATATGAATTGGAGAGCATTTACAACAAAAGGGATGATCATATTGAAGTCTAAAACGTTCTTTTTGCGAGAGCAACAACCCCCTCGTGTCATTGTCAGACGTCGATCACGTTCCGCTGCCCGCACCGCATCCTCCCCTGTTACCTGTTTTGCGAATACACACGCCCGCCTCGATGGCGTTGCTGCTATTATTGCTTTTGTACTCTACTCGCTTTATCCTTCCGTTCGTCTTCATTTCGGTTTCGTTTGTTATTCTGAAATTCTCAACGTTTTATGGTGCGTTCCACTTCGTGCGTGGTGCGTGCGTGTGCCATCTTTGCGCGTCTGCTTGTGTGCATGTGTGCGTATGTGTATGTGTATGTGTTTGTGTTTGTGTTTGTTCACGTTCTCTCATTATTCCATTCTCTTTGATTAAATGTACATTGAACTCAGCTGGGCCATCTAGTTAGCTTCGTTTTTCTTTCTTTTTGTTTTTTGCCATTTTGACCTGATGCTTCGTCTGCTTTGCTACCTTCCCATTTCTTTTTTGGCCCTATGAGCGTATGACACTTGTTAGTTTTTTTTTCTTTTTGAGTGATGCTTCATTCTTGCCGTTTGACAACACTGAAAAATAAAACAAAGAAATACAACTTAACGGAAAATTGCTTGCATCTTATTTCCGTAAGAGTGCACCGCTCTAACAAGTGTCTTGCACATCGCCCCAATAACTAACAAGTGTCATTCCACTATTATAGAAAATTACAGTTAAATAGGCCTTAGAATAAATAGTAGGCATCGCTTTCGCTACCAATTTGCCAAGACGCCAGTTTTGTTCAAGTTGTTGTTTTAAAGAGAAATCTTGTGTGATATTTATCCAAATCAAAGTCTAATTTTCAATTTCCTGGCATTTTTGCACTTATTGCAGCTAATTTGTATATACAGTGTACATAGAGATGAGCACACAACAAACTCGTTCGGGGGGCGGCGGCGGCCGCACTCAGAAAAAATCAAATTCCGCTCACATTGGCGGTGGCGGTGGCAACAATGATACCGGTGCTATCACACATGGCGCAGCGGTACATAAGAAAGCCGATGCGAACAAGACAGAAAAACCCGAGAAGGCCCAACCAAAGGCCACCACGGAACAGTTGCGCATTGCCCAGATAACCAATAGCACCACAGAGGATCCGCAGATCAATGAAAAGGTCACCCTATTGCTAACAATGACCCAACGTTCCGAGGAGGAAGTCTGCTGCGCCTTGAATGAGTGCGATTATGATCTGGAGGCGGCGGCCAATTTCTTGATTGAGATTCTACCACAGGTGCGTTAGAACAAACGTCGCGTGTATCCAGCTTGTAAACTGTTTGATAATCAATTTTACAGGGCGCCTTTGCCAAGTACGAGAAAAAACGCAAGAATAAGACTGCAAATGCAGTTGCGGATGGCGCCGGCGGGGATGCCGATTGGGCAGATGGCAACGCAAATGCGGACAGGCGCGAAAAGTCGCGCAATCGCAGCGCCAATCGCGGTGGACGCGGCGGCACCGACAGTCGCGGCTGTAAGTTAATAATTACTTAAATTTGATTATATATTAATTGCAATGAATCTTCTACAGGGCGCGGCAGAGAGGCCCGTGAGAATGACCGCAACATGCGCGAATCTCGTGGCGGCGATCGCGGTGAAGATCGCGCCAATGACAACTATCGTGGTCAGCGTAATGGCGGGCGCGGCGGTCCTGGCGGCGGCGCCGGTGGTGGCGGTCGCGACGGTGTACGGGGCGGCGGTTTTATGTCACGCCCCGGACGCGGCGGTGGTCGCATGGGCGGTCGCAGTGGCGGGCCGCGCGGTGATCGCGGCTACGGCTTACGCAACAATGCCAACAATGAGGATCACCACGAGGTTGAGCTCTGGGACAACACCATAGCGCAAAATGCCGAGAAACAGCAACAGCAGCAGTCGCACGACGACGCCTGGGGCGACTGGAACAACGAGGAGTACGAGGGCTCGCTCAAGGACAGCAAAGTCTTTACACCGAGCAATCTCAACTCGCAGACGGCGGCCAGCGTGGTAAGCGGTGGCGGTGCGGCGGTTACAGCCGCTGAGTTATCAGCACCGCCAGGCCTGGAACATCATCATCTGGGCGGAGGTGTAGCACAAGGATCTCATCTGAGTGCGCTGGTTGGCAGCAGCGAGGACAGCGGTAGCTCGGCGCCAGCGCCAGTCGCCAGCATTTCCGGCACATCAGCGGCGACGCCGATGATGCAGTACAGCGCAGCGGTCAGTAATCCGCCTCCACAGCTGCAGTCGGTGGTAAGCACACCGAGCAGCGTTGCGGGCGGTGGTGCGAGCGTTGCGCTGAATTCCTCACCCTATGTCGCCAATGCTGCCGCCGATACATTCTCGAGCGCTGCCTCCGCGGCTGCCACGTTAGTGCAGCAGGCCCAGCAACAGGCGCAGCAGCTTCAACAGCAACAGCAGACGCCACTGAAGCCATCGGCCACACTTTCAGCGGAACAATCTCAGTATTTCAACTCGCTGACGTCGCAGGGCGCCAGCCCGACAGCCGCTGCAGCGGCAGCGGCAGCTGTGCAGCCCTCAATGGCGGCCGTTTATGGCAGCCAAAGCAGCGGCTCAACGGCTCAGTATTCGAGCACGTATGCGAATGTGTTCGCCTCGGCGCCCGGCTCCAGCATGGGCACGCCCAACAGCAACAGTGAACAGTCGCAACAGCCGCAGGTGCGGCGGGCACGCGTCAAATTGCCGCCACCCTCGAAGATACCCGCCAGTGCAGTTGAAATGCCCGGTGATAATGCCCTGAACAATATTGGCTACTTGGATGTGCAATTCGGTGCCATGGACTTTGGCACAGACGACAGCTTCGATGCGCTACCAGAGAAGTTCAATGCGGGCGTCAGTATCGACGGGCAGCAGCAGCAGCAACAGCAGCAGGATGACTACCAGACCAAGTCACAGCAGCAGCAGGCAGCGCTCTCCGCCGGGCTACAGAACGCGCAAATTGTGAGTAGAGTCTCGAAACATATGCTTCTCTCTCGAGGGAAATAGCAAATAATTCATGCATATATTCCAATCAGTTGCAGGGTGATGCTTTAAGTGCGGGCGGCTATGCGACGCGGTCGACGGTGCAGCAGCAGAGCGGCAATGCGCTGGATCAGCTGACCAAGAGCGATCCGTACGGACAGGCGGGCAGTGGCAACAATGGCGCGACGCCATATCAGAATGCGTATCAGAACAGCGCCGCCAGCAAGGCGAACAGTGCCTATCAGACGTCTGCAGGCGTGCAGGGCTACAATAGCTCCAGCTATGCAAACGTTCAGTCCTCGGTGGCGAACAGCTACCAGCCCTCTAGCTATGCCAGCTATCAGGCCAATGCAGTCAATTCCTATCAGCAGCAGCAACAGCAGGCGGCTGGCAATGCGCAGAACGCGACGGGCAGCGTTGGCGGCAGCGGTGCGGCAACACAAAACATTCCGATCAGCGGTAGCGGCGGTCAAAACAGCTCCAGGTAAAGCCTCATCCTCATCCAAACCAGCTTGTGTTTATGCGTTTTATGCGTTTATCTTGTTGCTCCTCAAAATCTAACTCGTAACTCGATATGATTATCCAAATGCAGTTCTAATATTTGATTTATCAATGTTTTTGTTTTCGTTTTTTGTTAACTTTTTTCTTCTCTTTTAACTCCACTGCCCACCGCCCTGCCCTGCTCCGCTCCGCTCCTCCACAATTTAACCCACATTGCCAAATAACAGCGCGAATGCGAGCTCCGCCTATCTCACATCGGGTTATTCGACACCACAAAGTGCTTACCAGTCCAGCCAGAGCGTCTATGGCAATACTGGTCTCTCCAACAGCAGCGGGTATGTATGGGCTTTTTAACTTTCCAGTCAACCATTGTGCCATATATAACCCGTAGAGCACCCAGCATCTCATCCGCTTGAAATTGTATTACAATTGCATGTTGAATTTTTGCTAAAATATCATTAGTTGGATATTAGATTTTAGCTTAGAAATAATATTCAAAAAAACAAATTATATGGGTCTAAGCTGCTGATGTGATAGATACTAGGGTAATAACAAATGTGATTGAGTATGGAAGTGAACCCTAAAATCGTCCGAATATATCTAGTGCAATAATTGACGTGCTTCAGACTTTAGACATTAGTCATAGTCAAATAATCAAAAGACATTGAACAATTAATCATCAATACGTGTACAAATAAAGGTGTTGATAAAGCTTTTCTTGAAGCTATCAATATATTTACAACGATATAAAGCAAGTTCTTTGAATGTGCAGATACTCTAAACATTTTGTATATATTTAATTTAATAGAGTTGAGCTGGGTAAGAACACAGGCGCGACATGTAGAATAACAGTTGTTTAACATGGAGCAGATATGTTATTTAGAGCACTTCACTGTTATTTAACAGTCGAATTACTTTTCTTGATTAAATTTGTACTAAAATCAGTTCTTAAGATCCTTTAGGTCTATATCCAAAATGAAATCCATACTAACCTCTACTATATATATATATATATATCAATATATATATGTTGATTCCTTTGTTTCCGTTTGTTTTGTTTAATACCCTTGCTGTGTGGCACATTGGCAGGTTTGCTGGCAGCGCAAGCAACTCGTCCTCGCAGTATGGTAACTTTAGTGCTAGTGCCAAGCTTAAGGATGCCGCGGCAGCCGGAGCTGCAACGCATTATGACAGGTGAGAGATTAGGCACGCCAAATTGCACGCTATAACTAATTACTAATCGAATGTATGTCTAATTTGTGGGAGATGAACTAAATTCTTGTTTCTTTCGGACAGTGTCTCCACGAGCAGCGGCGTGAGCAGCAGCAGTGCCAGCACTGGCAACGGTGCGGCGGGCGTGGTCAGCGGTGCGACAGGTGCTAATCAGGCGGTCGTTTCCAATAGTGAGTACCAGAATGAGAACAATCCACAAGTGGAACATATGCTTAATCCGTGTCCTCTTTACGCTTACAGCCAACAACAACGTGAGCGGCAGCAGTTCGGCCAGCAGCGTTGCGGCTGGTGGCAACAACAGCAACAGCAGCAATGTGGTGGCAGTTAGCAGCCAGGGCGGCAGCTCGATAGCGGGCGTAAGTGTAAGCGGCGGTGTTGGTGGCGGTGTTGTCGGCGGCAGTGCGTCCAGCGTCGGTAGCGGCGGCGTCGTTGGCGTCGGCGTTGGCGTGGGCGTTGGCAGTGGCAACAATGCCGGCTCTGTCCAGGCCGTTGCACAAACATCGGCGGGCACCGCAGCGGTGCTGGCCTCGCTGACCAACAAGAACAGCAGCAGCAGTAACAGCAGCGGCAGCGGTAATGGCGGCACCGGCGGCGTCGGCGCTACAACCGGCGGCAGCGTCGGCGCAGGCGGCAGCAGCAGCTCAACTGGTGCTGGTGGTGCTGGTAGTGGTGGTGGCAGCGGCGGCGGCAGCAGCGGCTTGGTGCCCACCAACATCCAAATGGTTAGTCAATATATTCAGACTGGATTGCCATACTATCAGCAACCAGTTTATTCCTACGAGGAATTACAAATGATGCAACAGAGAGTGCCACATGTGGTGAGTTCATGGAGAAAAGCAAAATGCAAACAAAATAAAATTAATTAAAAAAAAAAAATCCAATACCAATACCAAATACCTACAACAATTCAATGCAACCAAAATCAAATTTGTATGAAGCAAAACATATTCAAAATTCCATTTGCTCTCATTTATCAATATCTCAATATCAATATCAATACATATCGAATCGTATCAGATATATATAATGCTAATGGCACTTTTTGCACGTTGCAGCCGTTTTTCACCTTCACAATGTTTTTCTCAAACAACGTGTGCATTACATTTTCCCCATGTATTAACAATTTTCGCCAAACACGTTGTCTGTGTCTGTGTGTGTGTGTGTGTGCATAAGTGTATATACTTCCACGCGTGTGTGTGTGTGTGTGTGTGTTTTGTCTCTATTTGTATATATTTCATTGAAGACGAATTCTTGCACTCTATTGTTATTGTAAAATCACATAATGAACATTTAGTAGAAAAAAAATGGTTTACCATATTCCGCTTCCAATCCAATCCTTGCATAAAAAAGAGTCACTTTTTTTTTCAAACAAATTATTTGCAAAGTAAAAAAACGTAAACATAAACAATCAAAAATTGGCATTTAAAAATTCTTACGCTCATTAACAAGAAAGAAATATTTCAATTTCGTTCCGCTTTTTCCAGCGGAATTGAGATTCAACTATTTCCACCGCATCCTCTCTCCACTCCACGCTCATTCAAAAAAAAAAAAAAAAACAAATATATAAACAATCATTATTATATTTTTTTAACCAATTTGCTTGTTTCGTTCCATTCTTTTTTATTTTATATATGTTTTTTTTTTGTTTTATGGCACTTGACATTTAACTTCATTTTGTTTTGTGTATATTTCATTTCCATTTCGGTCGCAGTCGTGCCAACTGTCGAAAGTTTCCATTTAAACAATTCGTAAAGCCCTGGCAACGCTGTGCCTAAACCATAATCGCAGCTTATCTCATAACATTCGCTGCCGAATGCGCCTTGACACTTGTTTATCGCTAATTGGGCTTATTTTTAAATTGCAGCAAGGGTATTACGATCTGAACTACACGCCCACCAGCCTGGGCGCCGGACGCGACAATCTGGGCTCAGTGGCATACTCAACCATGACTGATGGACGCTTCGCGCGCACCGACAATAACTCCAGTCCTGTTAGTAATGTAAGTGTTACGCTGCTGCGGATACAATTAAACAGAAACTACCCAACAAATATTCCAGAGAATAGACTATAAAGGTAGCTGGACGAGTTTTCAACTCCAATGTGCCAAAGCTTATGAGTTATAGGTAGATTATATTTCAACAAGTATGTATGCGATTAAGGAATGCAATCTCCCCAAGAATAGACTGCAAAGGTAGTTAGACGAGCTTTGAACTCCATGAGTTCACAAAAGTATCTAAGCAATTAAGATGTAGGTCAGAAATAAAATAGATAGAACATAATTTTCCGCAAGAAAGTGCAATTAGAAAATCGTAGAACAGGCTCAAAAGGCAAAAGTAGAATTTTAAACATGTGTAGCCTTAAGTCTAACCCTCGTATTCAATAGCTTAGACCTGAAGGTAGCTTTCTAAAGTCATAAAAAGATGTGAATAACTTAAGAATTTGGTATACAAATGTACCCGAGCTATGTTTTGCAGTCCTTGTAAAAAGCTAGCAATATTCTTAAAATAAGCATGATATGCAATATGTTACAAGTGATATATAATATGCTTCCATTTAACGTGAGCATTAAATCTCATCTTGAGTTTATCAACTAAATGAGTGTACTTCTATTGCAGGTGTCTAGCACAATGTCGCAACAAGCTGGCTCCAGTGCGCCCATGCTGAATGTTCCTTATGCATATTTCTATGGTGGCAATGTAATGCCCGGCGGTTTCCAATATGGCACGCCAGCCATCTATCCAGTAAGTCGCTGGAATTATAACATAACATTAAACCTAAATTAATTGTGCTTAATGGGATTTTCAGCAACAAATACCGGCTGCCAATACCGCATCCGGTGGCCAGTTCCCAAAGCCTTCGTATAGCGCGGGCTACGGCTCGACAAGTTATGATACGCTCTCACAAACCACTCAGGATTATAGCAAGGGCGGCTACTCGTCCAGCGTGAATCAGCAGAGTAAAACCCAAACGGTTTCCAATCAGCCGCAGGCGGGCACCGGCTCCGATCTGACCTCATCCATGTACGGCAAGGGTCACGTGGCGCTAAACAAGGTCAATGTGCGTATCAATCAGTTTGCAAATGCATAGAAATATATATAATATCTACATCTATTTGTGCAGTCGTATGAGAAGCAGAGTTTCCACTCGGGCACACCGCCGCCATTCAACATGGCCAATACGCAGACAGCTGGCGGCACCTCGGCCCAGCCGTATGGCATGTATCTGCCGATGCCAGCGGCCGGACATCACAATATGATACATCCGCCTATCCATCAGGTAGAGTACAATTCCGAACAGCAGTTTTTATTAAATCAAGAACAAAACATTCAAGTCGCGTACGAGAATGAGCAAATGTGGCATCAGAACCAACATAATAATCATGACTATGCAATGTCGGGACACAATCAGCAAGATAATAGCAACTATATACAAGACGATCTCAGTGGCATATCGTTTTTCGCTGAGTGAAGCAATTGTGATAAACTGAATATCCAATTCGAATCGAATGAAGCAACATTATTTAGCAACATTTTAGCAAAATTAACAATCTACACACACGCATTTTACACACACTCGCACTAATATCACACACACATACACACACACCTTCTCTCTGTCATATATTTATTGTTTATTAACTAACGACACTTGAAACTCATGATAATGCATGTTATTTGCGGGCCATTTAACATTCCTAATCAAAATTTTCAATTAGTTTTACATATAGTTTATTGTTTCGTTTTTAGTTTTTGTTTTTACACGTAGTACTTGTTTTATTTTATGTTGTTGTTGCTGTTGTTAAACCTCAAAACTCATATTAACATATTCAATCTGAAAAAAAAAAAAACAAAAATACCTACAAATTCACTTGGCACATTGCGCACTATTCTTTTTAGCATTAACCCAATTTGGTTTAAGTTTTATTTCATTCACAAATAAAGGCTGCAAATCGCGAACCAGTTGAGCAGAAACTAAACCATAAAAACTAAACTGCACAGAAAAAAGAATATTCTGAACCATGTTAAGAACTGTGATATAGTTTAATTATCGCAAGCTTTAAAGCATAATTTGGCTCATATTCGAAGAATAACATGGAGTACTGTGATGTGGTTCAGTTTCCAAGCCTTATAGAGAACTGTGATATGTTTCATTCGCGAGCTTAAATTCGCAAACCTCGTAATGTATCACACTAAGAACTGTGATAGTAAACAATTGATCAAATCTTCCTTACGCACAATAATCAGCTTTCGGTTCGTGGTGTTTTGTAGCCTTAATTAACCCGTTTTAATTTGTAGCATTTGTTTTAAACGTAGCTAACAAAAATACATTTTCATGCATTTTGTTTTGTTCACAGAGCTAGGCTCATTTTGCTTTTCGCGGGAATATTTTTGCGCTCTCTTGCTGCCCCTAGTTAGTTAGTTCAAGTTATTTAGTTAGTTAGTTAAACTTCACACACTCGCACACCTTTTCTCTTAGTGAGCTTAATTTCATCTAGTTCTGGAGTTATGCGCTATGGGATCTGCAGCCAAGTGCAAGAAAACCAAATAATAAATTGTGAAATGCATGAAACTGTTCGATTGTTTGACTTTTTTCTTTATAATTTCTTTTGATTTTTTTATTGGGACAACATTAGATGGACGGCAGGATTCATAGCTCATCCCGCCGGGTAAGTTTTCCTTTGTTGTTGTATCAAGTGAATAAAACCAAAACCAAAACAAAACAAAAGCAAAAATAACAATTTAATAAATCGTAATCGTTTTTCGTTTCTTTGTTAACTATCAAATGTGTTTCTATCTGTATGTATGTAAAAAAAAAAAAACTAACACCTCTCACGCACGCACACGCACATAATAATAGCTCGCATATCTAAAACTAATATCTAGTAAAAATAGTAATAACATCTAGTTGGCTTTTTGACATTATTTTGACAAATTGTTGCTGAAAAGAAAACAACAAAAATGAGAAGGAAAACAAGGGCTAAACCAAATATTATTCATGCATATCACACAGCAGTGTCCATTAACGTGTATACATACATATATATATAATAATATATGTATATATAATCAATAACTATATATGTCTTATGCTCTATATATATGTAAATATATAGATCGTTAATGCTGCTAACACCTCACACTTATATATTTGTATGTATATGAAAGCTGGCTTTAACCAAGGAGCCAAAACATAAACATAAATATTTATATAAATATATAAATATATATATATGAAATACCTTATGTATTTGTTTATTTAATATTAAAACTAATTTCAACTTTTGCAGGACTCGAACAGCGCTGGCCAGCGCCAACAGTCGAGCAGCCAGTCAAAGTCGGCTGGCAAACCGAGCTACCCGACCTCATACTGGACCGGACAGAACTAGCTTCCGGAGAAGACCATTTGGCGGCCACTGCAAATAACGCTGCAGTCGAGCGCCGGCCGAGCAGGCGAATTTTATAGCCTACGCACCAACACAGCAGCAACAACAGCAACAGCAGCAGCAACAACAACAACAACACCCATTCACATTACTAACAATAATATCAGTCAGAGAACGTTGCCTGTAACAGATGCGAGTTCAATAACAACAGCAACTAAAGCGACAGCAGCAGCAATTGCAACAAATCAGTTACTAATGCTTGTCAAGGAGAAGCAACAACAACAACAACAACAACAGCAGCAACAACAACAACAGCAACAACAACATCAGCAGCAGCATAAAAAATCTGAGGAATATCCAATAAGCGAAACGTTGAGCGAGGAGCATTCATCAGAGGATAACGATGATTATCATATATATGAAGATGAGAGATCGTATTTTACTTAATAAGAAATGTTTTTACTACGAACGCGTTGAGCTCGCCTCCTCCCTCACTCTCACCCGCCCATCTCCGCTATGGAACATTGTCGAAGTGCAGATCTATGCATCTTTATAAAGTATACCAAGTACAGCCACTCAGCCCCGCCCCCCTCACATAACATACCATATAAAAACACACACACACAATCACACTCGCATACAGAATGCAACAACCAAAATACACACACACACACAAACGCATACATAACACGTACAGCCAACAACATCTGCATATATAAACTATACCAAGTACCATTTTTCACATTGCATACAAATAATTTACAAAGATAAAAGATAACAATTATTAAATATTAAAGGCGTAAAACGATTTAACAGATTTATAAGCGTAAGATGAAACAAATACAAAAACAAAAACAAAAACAAACAAAACGTAAAAGTGAATGAAAGAAAAACAAACAACAAACAAAAATTAATTATTGTAATCGGTTTAAACTTATGTGTATTGTATAATTATAACCTTAATATTTAAATTAAATACAAGAAAAGAAGATAAAAGATACGATTAAATCCAAACAAATGCAAAAAAAAAACCAGTCCAAGACTTTTATTGTGCGCTGCCGAAGTCAGCTCAGGCAACATAGAGAGAGAGGTATATATATTCACAAGATCTGAAAGCTATCAATGAAACTTGACAGAGGTGAGATGTACAGCGCAGTCGGATGAATCAGATATATATTCATATACGTATAGCTCTTATAGGAACTATGAGTAGAAAGTTAAGGAAATTCTTTATTCCTGCTAAACTTATCTTTGCTTCTAGAAATAAGCAGGATCTAAACAATATCGCCCTACTATATTATATATGATGCTCGCAAAGAAGCAATCGACATGGCATGCAAGGTTATTTCAGCTATGTCAGCCCGCAGATCTCGGCTCTTTCTATTTGCCAATAGTTTAAATCTTTATTGCGACGTTTACAGACTAAAATGCATATATTTATATATACGAGTAAATACGAAAGAGTACAAAGCATTAACAATTACTGGCTATGGAGGAGTTTATTGAAATCCGCATAGGCCGATTCCAGATCGAAGAGAAATTGTCGCACTTGGGCCTCGGTCAGCTCATCGGATGCCTGCATTTCGTTCAGTGTGCCCAGCCATTTGTCCACCTTTTGCTTGGCGTCAAAGTCCTTGGGTATCAGCGACAGACGATTCATGTTGTCATCCAAATCTTTGACATCCGGCTGCAGTGCATCCATTGTGTTGATCTGCAGACGCAGCTTGTCCATAATGGTAATGAATAGCGATACGATTTCGGCAATGCATTTGGATGTGTTGCCCTTGTCGTCGCGTATGGTAATGGGTCGATCTTCACGAATGCGTTCCAATGCCGCCGGACAGTCGAGGCGAAACTTTTTCACGAATGTGTCCACGGTGGGAAACTCTTCGCATTGCACCTGTTTGAATGCGATTTTGTATTGGACGAGGTGCTTGGAGCACGCCGCTGTATATTCCTGCGGGGTAATGCAGTCCCGAATGTACGCCTTTTCCAGCTGCTGTATTGTGTTTATAATCGCATATAAATCGGCCATGTTATCGTATTTCTCACGTTCGCGAGCATTGCGAAACAGTTTCACCTCCTCGTAGAGCTCGGGGCTGTGCTCCTGCATTTTATTACTTCTGTTTTTTGTTTTCTACAAATGCGAAAATTAGCTCAGATGACGAAGAGCGATAGAATTCATTGTCAACAAAAGCGATAGAAATGTGCTATCGATAACTCGCAGGGATTCATTTTGTCTGTGTTATCGCCAGAACAATTGATTGTGGCGCGCAAGTCAATCGCAATTTGAAAAGCTGAAAGTCAAAACATAATTTATATCTAGCAGCTGGTTACGTACAAATCAATATTTTATATTGATTTGCGTTTTGTAGTGGCGCTGCAAAAAACATGCTGATAGGGTTTTCCAGCAAATTTTTCCTAAAGCCTAATCGAATACGCAAACTATGCAAATCTTATCGAAAGCGAGCTCTTCCGTTAAATTATTTCAATTCATGTTGTTAGACAATAAAGATAATCAAATATAATAGAGATAAGCCCTCTATTGGCTCAAGCAGGCCAATTATATGAATTACCAATGCAAGTTATTTATTATCAGCATATCAGCTCGTATCAATACCGTTTGGCCGCCGTAAAGTGTGCAGCTCGTTCAGAAATAATTGAAATCTCTTACATGAATTAGTTTGCTTCCACCAATCAATCGAACGGTACGTGCTACAGAGTCCGCGTGTGTTTTTTTTCGTCTTTGTTATATATACAATATCATAATAACTTTCCGATGGGCACCGAAAATCAACAGATTGTAAGTACATACAGGAAATAAACAAACTATCGCATAAGTTAAGATCAGTTTTATAAATATTTTACAGTATATGCTAAAAAACGTAAGTCTATAGAAACTAAGCAAGCGACATTTTCGCCAATTACGTTATATCAAAATATATATATACCTGTATGAAACATGCTTAGATATCATATGCAAAATGCGCAATATATAAGTACATACAAATACATGACCTAATATTGTAAGGTTGTACATAACTAAACTTAAAAGGGCACGGCCTGTTCTAATAACTTGTAGCCCTGACCGGAATAACTACGTGGAGGATACAATACAAATAGGCCCAATTGCAGCAGAGACAGTAGGCAGCCCAGAAAGTTTGGTATCTGAAAGCAAAAAGAATATAATATTAAAATTGGCAGCAAATTGCAGTTGATGGGAAAATCGGCACCTGGATAAATGAGTCTGATATTAGAACACCATAGATTAACCACTGTAGGCTGACAAAAAACGATGTGGCAATAAGGGGTAGGGGTAAACTCTCCGAGTTCTTCACACGTATCACATGCACCAGGGACGTGAGCGGTGCGGCAAAGAAGCATACGGTAACAACGCAACAAACAATGCCTGCAATTATATATTTAAAGACGATTACAATAATGGGGTTACAGTTATGCATTAAGGGACGTGCTCACCTGTTATGTATATCATCTTTTGGGGGTCGTCTTGCAAACTGTTTGTGTACACAATAACGCCAATGAGTATTGCCAGAACAATGCCAAATTGCTTTACGTAGGCACGTTTGTTGACCGTGAACACATAGTAGACCAATGTGTAGACCAGAAAGAGCGTGGAGCCAATCATATTGACCATAACGACGCTCTGCTCGTTGGTGAGCACCCCATAGCGCAGCCAAAAACTGCAGCTGTACAAACAAGGTAAAGTTTAGATACAATGTCTATCTATCTGTCCATATCTTGTCTACGTCGACAGTTCGTACTTACGATAAGAAGCCGCATATGAATGGCACACCAGACGATTCACCCGTGCTCTTCTTTTGTATGTATTTCCGACATATAACGCTGATAAAAGCATGTACATAAATTAAATTATAGATTATAAACAATTTGCATATCTAATTGAGATTATTTTGCGGCTACTTACGTGCCCGATAGAAATTGAAAAACAGTGCTGATCACCGCCGTTGTGGACAGCACGGAATCATAGGCCAGCGTCATAGTTACCAAATTATATCTACAAAAACTGATTATTAATTAATTATTTATCAATAATAAAATAAAACAATTAATGTATTACTGGCCAACTAACACCGCTACACAACGTCAACAAAAAGAACAAAAACAGCTGACTAAAACCAGAGTTGCCAGACGGTCAGACAGTTATTGTATATAAAACCAGAGCTGCCAGACTGTCAGACAGTTATTGTATATAAGTCGCAATCGGCAACAATCGGGTTTTCGATTAAAACACGCGCAAGCTTTTAAAGCTATGCATGGTCGCTACATCATTCGAGCTTTAGCCGGCTAGCAATGTTGTTGGTTTCTAAAAGCTTTTTGGCTGCGCCGCTGCTACATGCTACCAAAATGTTGACACATGTTTTAGTCGCACAAAGGAAGCGAACGGCGACGCTAGCTTCAGTTACGGCTGCGCGCTTTTCTGTTTACAATATTTTCAACCATTTTTTAAACAATTTACGTTTACGTGTATTGTATATTAGTGTATGCAATCGATTCCCGTGTATTTGTGCTTGTTATACAACACTAACTAGTAAACGCACACGCCGGCAGCATAAAAAGTGGCGCTAAACACACAATTACCATTCAGTGTGCTGAAACGGACACGTGTTGGCATTCGCGGCCTTATTTAGTGAAGTTTTATTGTTAATAACAACGACTATAAAAAAGTGCATGCGCTGTCTATAAAAATGCCGGTCATTAATAACGCTGAATTAGAACATTTGAGCCCGCCATTTAAGGTTGAAATAGCGCCACACCAACAAACGGAAACAAATCAGGTGAGCAAAGCCAAACGAAAAGGTGTTTGTTTGGCTGTACGTTGTCTTTGGGCGCTGCTTTCGCCTGTTTTCTTTCTGCTTAACACACACAACTTTTTGTTTACAACTGTAGATCGTCGACCTATAACAGTTCAAAAACAGTCCAAACTGCACTTTTTCAACTTTCTGCAAGCACCGCTTTCTCTCTTCCTCTCTTTCTCTACTTTCGGTTTTGCTGTTCCTTTCATTTTGTTTTTAGAAATTAATACATAAACAATTTTTGCGTCGCAGTATTTTGTTGATTCGTTCTGCATTCTGTATTTACAAATATGCGCGGTACAAGGTCTGTAAGCAATAATGCCATAGTTCTCTCTAGAAATTATCTACACATTTACATAAAAATGTAATTTACTATTTACATTAATTACAAAAGCAAAACAACATTACGCATTGCATTATAGCAGAAACCGCAGCAAAAACCACGATCTTTGTACGATACATGAACACGCATACATACATACAAGCGTGTAAGTGTGTGCACAGTTGGGCATGAAAATATGTGCACACATCAAACCGTTAGGCAACATTTGAATATTTTGTAACATTTACACGCAACAAATAATTGTTTTATTTTTAATTAAAACAATTGCAACAAATTACATTTTACGTATATACAAAAAACACTTGATTTTAAAGTATAAAAGAAATATATAAATTCATAAAGCATGTATAAATACTTTCTTGGCGCACTGTATGTATTTACAGAATGGCCATGTATTTCTACTCTACTTTGAGCGTACATCGGCTCTCCCAAAGCAAATGACAATATATGTATTCACATTCTCACCGCATATATAATTATATATTTATATTTAGCTATTTGTACATTAGAATGTGCATATGTGAATGTGAATGTGAGTGTGTATGTGCTTATGGCGAATTTGGCATTGTGTACACTTATTATCAGCTATGTTTGGGTCTGTCTTATCAGTTTCCCCTCAGCAAATGAACCGTCGAGAATCATTTTTGTTGACCTCTAAATCCAAGTGCAAAACGTATAGAAATTGTTTTAATTAAATACAATTAGAAGAACTGTTGAAAGTTAGTTCAAATGTCTAAAATATGGCAATGATAATTGCAAATTGCCAAAAAAAAATCATCGCCAAATATTTGTATAAAGGGTCAGTTAATTAGTGACATCTTATGGGCATAAATCTGAATGATCCCAAATAAATCAGTGCCAGCTTTTGTATATATACTGATAAAAACAACTACGGAATGACGCAAAGAAGCAAAATAAATGACATAAAAAGAATTTAAATTAATTATGAACGAATATTTAAACGTGTGGAAAATAATAAATAAAAACTGATAATTTTCCAAAGAATTAACAAAAAAATATATCTGAATAGTTGGCGGAATTATCAATTATTATTTTAATTTTAAATGTATTTATATTTTATCATATATTTACACTGCTTTACAAATTTCAACGTTAAAAAAAAAAAATAAAATAATTTAAAAGCGGGGAAAAGACGACGACAAATATTCTTAAAATTATTATAGAATTATCCCTAAAAATATATATTTCTTATTTTATTTCTCTTACATTTTTTTTGCATTTTTTATATTTAACCAACAAAATTAACAAAAAAAATTAATTTATTATTTTATTCTCTTCAATAGTTTTCTTTTTAATAAATAACCGAAAAAAAAATATTTTACTATTTTATTTCTCATTAATTTTTGTTTATTTTTTATAATACTTATAATACTATACTTACATAGTCAAATAACATTATTTTATTAATTTTTTTTTAACTAAATCTTTTTTTAGTTTTAGTCCCCTTACACTAAATGTTTAAAGGAATTGTACAAAATAAATTGCGATATATTTCCTTAAAAAATTCACCTTTCTTTTCGCTTCCATTTTCCACTTTCTATTATCTTTAATTCTTTTTGTATATACATGTCTCTTGTCATATATTCCAAGTAACCTTATGGAACTTGTCTATTGCATAGAAACCACCATGGAGCAAGCTTCTGTTGCTGGTCGCCTTCGCCACAACCCTGGGAGCTGCTGTGCCCACGGGCTATTGCATAGGCGTTATCAATGCGCCCTCGGCGGTAAGTTGTGCTCCAAGAGAATCCTAATCCAAAGTTGCAACAGTATTTTTGGGTGCTTTATCTTGGCAGCTGATGAAGATCTGGTGCAGTCAGACGGTGCTTGAGAAATATGGCAGCACAATGAGCCAGAGCGGCATAGATATACTCTGGTCGTCGGTCGTTTCGGTTTTCCTGGTTGGCGGTGCCATTGGATCCCTGGGCGGCGCTGGCTTGGCTAATAAATTTGGCAGGTCGGTATTCCAAATAATCTAAAGTCAAGTGCGGGCTTATCAATGGAAATGCAGCTTATCAGCTATAATTAGATTAACTTAATTGTTGACTTTTTGTTGATAAGCAGATTTCCGATTTATTCCATGGATTATTTTGTCATTTAGCTATTGCATAATCCATTCGAGCTATCGAATTATTCGAATGTTTCAATCATGAGTACAAACTAATCAAAATTTTATTTGGTTCAGTTGGGGGCTCGAATCCTTAGTTCAACTTTTTGGTATGAACCTAGTTTCGTTCAAAATCTTCCAGTTTTAAATAAAAGAAATTGCAATTTTATATTTAAAGCAAATATTTTTATCAATTTCTTTATAGTATGTTATAGAATTCCATTTGGCGAAATGCTTTTAAGTATTATGTAAATTTGAAGATCGCCTTGAGATTGGGTCTAATATTTTAAGCTACTGAATCAATTATGAATATAATTGGGCTCGGTTTATGTTTCGGCTGTTTAGTTTGATTAGGCTGTTATTCCAGATTTCAACTAGTTTTGTTTTCAGTCACATTAATTAAACCGGAATTGCATTTTTTATATATGACATGCACATTAATTCAAATTGAAGATAACCTGAAATTAAATGTGACATTTTTTAGAATTATTTAAAAACAGATTCGATCTTATTTAGGCAGCGGAATTGGACTAGTTATTAAAGAATGTTGAATATATTATAAAATTAATTCAATCCCTCATTTCTCCCTCTCTCTCTCTTCTTCTACCCGCAGAAAGCCCTGCATGTTAATCTGCGCCGTGCTGTTTGCCATTGGCGCAGTGCTCTTCTTCTTCTGTCGTGCCGCCAAATCGGTGGAGATGCTGCTGCTGGGTCGCTTGATTGTTGGTCTGTCATCGGGTCTGGTCACTGCCACACAGCCCATGTATCTGGCAGAGCTAGCGCCGCCCTCGCAGCGCGGCACCTTGGGCGTCTTCTGCGGCGTCGGCGTCACCGGCGGCGTTGTTTTTGGCCAGGTGTTCAGCTTGGCTGACATCTTTGGCACTGAGGAGCTCTGGCATTATGCGATATCCGCTTACATATTGCTCGTCCTTGTGTGCTACGCGCCCTCGTTTTGGTTCCCGGAAAGTCCCAAGTTTCTCTATTTGATTAAGAGCAATCCGGCGGCGGCACGTCGCGAGCTGGTGCGTCTGCGTGGCGAGGATGCCAACAAGCTGATCGAGCAGGAAATTGCCGACATGCAGATGGAGGCCAATGATGAAATGCAGAGCAGCAGCTTCGGCGACGTGCTGCGCGATCCACGTTTCCTGATGCCGCTCTTCATTGTCTGCTGCTTCCAGGGTGGCCAGCAGCTGTCGGGCATCAATGCGGTGAGTTTTCTAATTGATTTGTTTTGCTTAAATTAACTTTAACTTAATTACCATTGCAGATCTTCTATTACTCCGTCTCCATATTCACCGAGGCCGGCTTCTCCGAGCCGAACGCCCAGTGGGCCAATTTGGGCGCTGGCTGCATGAACTTGTGCATCTCGCTGCTGGGCCCGCTGCTGATGGCCACCTGCAAACGTCGCAACCTGATGATGCTCTCCAGCTCGCTGTGCTCCATTTTTCTCTTTTGCATTGCGTTCGTTTTGTACTATATTGTAAGGATTCAGCTTGTCAATGCCCGGAAATCGTTCTAATTTACATTCTTTGTTGTTTGCAGAGATCGGTTAGCTGGTTTCCCTGGGCCTGCATTTTCTGCATTCTGGCCTATATATTCTTCTATCAGTTCGGTCTCGGACCGATTCCTTATTTTATTGGCTCAGGTATAATTTGAAGAAGCCGCAGTACCTGCATACACCTATTCATACATATATGTATATCTGTATTTGTATACTAATCTATTTCGATTTACAGAATTGTTCGAGGTGGCGCCACGCCCCGTGGCCATGTCCATGGGCAGTCTGTCGTCATGGACTTGTAATTTCATCGTTGGCATGGCCTTTCCCAGTTTGCAAAGCGCCTGGGGCGCCTTTGTTTTCCTACCCTTCTCAATTACCTGTGTGCTGCTCTTCATTCTAACGAAATTATATTTGCCGGAAACGCTGGGCCGTGATCCATCCGAAGTGGCGCCACTTGTGTCCAAAGGCTTCCGCTCCAAGGTTAAATAAGGACGTGGGTGTGGCACATTGGAAAGTAGTTTTAATTGAATGTTCGGTTACGCAGCGTATTATATTAAGTTAGTTTTAAGTTAATTGTTAGCTGTAATTTTCATAGTTAATGAGGTTTATGCAGGACACATGCCTCACCGGACAATAAGCGTACATAAATTGTAAATTTTTAAAATGAATGTACAACTAATTCATAAGACACCCTGTATAACAATGGTACCCATTGCCAACATATGTAGAAGGCTGTGTTTGGCTCTTATCGCTGCACAAGTTCAAGTTAATTGGCTGTGTTGTTACTTTTGCTAATTGAATTTACTGCGAGAAATGTTAGTTAGTTCAATCAATTGGGGGAGGTTAGAAACATTTATCCTTACCTTATGGATACTCGGTCTCTGATTCACTGTCTTAAAAATAAGAACATATTGCAATGAGTTATCATAATTGTGTGAATAAAATGTACTTCCACTTGATGCCTACGTTTCCCACGCTGACAATCTTCCTAAAACGTTCAATGAGTCTTTCCACTTTAATGATAAGGCAATGTCATAAAACAACGACACAAGCCAATGATAACCAAGCGCTGTTCTTGTAACTGGGCCAACGAGTTTTGTAAAACAGTGTACTGACTAGAAGATACCCCGTGTCTAACTAATTTAGACAACGGCTGTGCTTTAAGATGTGCAAATTTACTGCTTAAATAAAATTTGTGCCTAATATCCAATCTGTGTTTAATTTGCTATTGCTTAAGACAGCTTTAAAATAATGTATATAAATTGGTATTCTAAATTGAAACTATATCTCTTTTTATTTTTATTTTGGGACTGGCTGCTCAGAAGATTTATAATCTTTTTATACTTAACTAATATTCTAATGATCTCAGCCAGTGTTGCCAACTTACTTCAAGAAAGTAGCTGAAAATTTAGCTAAAACAGCTAAAAGCTGAAAAAGCTTGCTAAGCACAACTTGGCTGAAAAAGCTTTCTAAACACAACTTGGCAAAAAGCAGACTGCGAGATCTTGTCAAAGCAGCTTAAACAATGGGAAATTTCAACTGTTTTCGACTACTGAAAATGGCCAAATATAGTTAGGAACTAGCTGAAACTGGCAACAGACAAAAAAGCTGAGGCTATGGCATTCGCACCTGTGGTTTTTGCAGGGGAAAAACCCACGCTAAAAATATTGCTTCAAATTGAAATTTATGGGCATTACTTGTCTTATTTATTATTTGTTTTTGCTTTGACTAACCTGACAGCTGATACTGATTATGAAGCTACTTATATTCTCGGAGATGCTATCTTCTGTTACGTAGCCATACACAATACCAGTACACCCTTTTGCGTAGCCAGTTTTAAAGGGTATAAAGTGAAATCAAGCATTTAGCAGAGACTGTGATGGGTTGTCGTTTCACTGACGACTCTTCAATTTGAGATTGGGCGTTAAGGTGTGTAGACTGTAGCAATCTATGACTCAGTTCGAGCACAGCATCGTTAGATAAAGCAACAGGTGCAGAGGAAACGGAATATGGTTGTCATTATGGTATTTTGGGGTATTCCAGTGAAGCCACATCACAGGCTTTGCCTGGCCTGAGTTTGTGTCTTGAATCTTTTGTTTTGCATATGTAAAATCTGTTTGTATTATTTGCAGCACGTGAATGACGCAGGCGAAGGCTGGACCTGGTTGCTCCTCCTAATATGCCTAACGACCACCTTGGGCACCACGGTGCCGGTGGGTTATTTCTTTGGCGTGCTCAATGCGCCCGCTGAGCTGATCAAGAGCTGGTGCGCCGATGTGCTCTCCACCGAATATGATACGAACAGCGATGAGAATCAGCTGAATTTGTTGTGGACATGCATTGTGTCGATTTATTTGATTGGCGGCATTTGCGGATCCGGCTTCAGTGCCTGGTGCAGCAACAAATACGGACGGTGAGTCGCTTGAGTTCAATAATACCCTGTGATAAACCCTCTTTTTTACACATCTCTATCAGCAAGGGCTCACTGGTAATTAGCAGCGTGATCCTAATGATTTGCGGCCTGCTCTTCACATGGTGTCGTGCAGCCAAGTCGCTTGAGATGCTTATGACTGCCCGCTTCTTTGGCGGCATTGCCTCGGCTTTGATCTTCACCGCTCAGCCCATGTATTTACTGGAGCTGGCGCCGGCCACGCTCAGCGGCAGCGTTGGCGTCTTCACCTGCATTGGCGTCACGGGCGGCATACTGCTCGCCCAGATTGTCAGCATGCCGCAGCTGCTGGGCAGCGAGGAGAACTGGCCATATGCACTGAGCTTCTATGCGCTGCTGGTGCTCATTTGCCTGCTGCCCCTCATGTGCTATCCGGAGAGTCCGCGCTGGCTGTATCTAGTGAAAGGCGATGTCGCTGGCAGTGCTCAGGCGCTGCGGAAGTTGCGCAGCCACCAAGCCAGTGTGCAGCAGGAACTCGATGAACTGGAGCAGACACTTGCCCTGGATAACAAGTCAAGCAGCATGTGCCAGGTGCTGCGCGACAAGGAGCTGTTCCTGCCGCTGCTGCTGGTCTGCGTATTCCAAGCCACGCAGCAACTAAGCGGCATTAATGCTGTAGGCTTTGGCATATCTCCACTGACTCGGCTACTGAAATTGAATGTTTACCTTGTATTACAGATCTTCTTCTATTCGCTGTCCATACTCACTAGTGCGGGCTTCTCGACCAACTCAGCTACTTGGTTGAATCTGGGCCTTGGTGGGTTCAATCTTTGCGCCTCGCTACTTGGCCCGCTGCTGCTGCGCAGGTTCAATCGTCGTCCGCTGCTGATGTGCTCCTGTGCGCTCTGCGGCCTGTCTCTGGCAGGCATGTCCTTTTCCCTGTACTATCTAGTCAGTTCAGAGGGAACTGCTCTGCGCTATGTGAGCAGCGTGTTCATCTTATCCTTTATACTGGGCTTTCAGCTAGGTCTCGGACCCATTGCTTACTTTATTGGCTCAGGTGGGTTTTCAATTTTTGTGGTGTTTCTGTTAATGAATCCCATTTGCGTGCAGAGCTCCTGGAGGATGCGCCCCGTCCTGTGGCCATGTCCATGGGCAGCCTGTTTTCGTGGATTGGCAACTTTCTCATTGGCATGTGCTTCCCCCTGCTGCAGAGCGTCTGGAGCTCCTTTGCCTTTATGCCGTGCATGTGCGTTTGCATATTTTGCCTGATACTTACCTGGCGTTATCTACCCGAGACACGCGGCCGCGAGCCAAAGGATGTAAAGCCGCTTATGAGTCAAGGACTACGCTCTAAGATCAATTAGATGAATATAAATAGCGTACTTCATTTATATATATACTTTCCTTAATCTACATGCATTTAGTGTTCAAATCATAGACACATTCTGAAATATTGTGCAAGCAAATAAAAATGTCTTATTCATAACGCCATGTTAATTGCATTGTCAACCTTGCAATAAGCATCGAGTACTATTGCCCACTTAACGGTAACGTATGCGAATGCGCAGAGTCGCAATTCGCGCCGCTCTTATATGCTCACGAGCTGTTGCACTCTCTCCTAATTTGCTCTGCCGAGATGATCGCTGAGCCAATTTCGACGTCACAGGTGAAGCGTCAAAATTAGCATTTGTATTCGTTGTCTATAAATATATAGCCAGTCGCCAGTGACTAGTAGAACGTTGTGGCGAACGTTTCGGTTTCGGTTGGTAGCAGCGCGCGCACATTCTCCAAATGCGGCAGAATCGGCATTAAATACGGCAGCGCCTAGTGAAGTGGAATTAAGTAATGTACGTTTAAAAATAAAAATTCGGTATGGAGCACAGTGCGTGGCTACAGGTGCCAATAAATAAATAGAGCAACATGCATATTTTTAAATTGAGCTAGTGATAAACTAACATGCGTGTATATACACATGTATATGGTTTAAAATAGACGTGCATGGAAATCAGCTGCGAAATAGAATCAAAACGAAACGAACCAAAACGAAACGCAACAATGCTGCAGTGACGACAACGCATTAGTGACGTCACGCCCGGCGTGTCGTGAATGGCATCTGGCAACGAAATAACAGAAAACAGCAATAACAACACACACACACACACACACATGCACAACATATATATATAAACATAGCCGACAGCAACAACATACAGAATCAATAAACATATTGCAGTGACCGTTGATAGTTATCGATTACCAATGATAAATATGTTTTCCATTAATGTGAATACCATTAAGAACAATAAACAAGATAAATCTGCGTATGAATGTATAATTTGCATAAACTCGTTAGGGCAAATCTATGCGCCGGTCAATGCACGAAAATTGGTCTTTTGTCTTGGGCCCACATCAATGTCTGTCAAACGGAATATACAACATTTGTTAGCCAAGTACATATCCCACTGTAATTTATTATTATCCATGTCATTTGCTCTGCACACACACAGTCACACACACACATACAATCCGAATCCATTTTACCGCAACTTGCGCTTAGCATTTTTTCGTGTGTTTTCATTTGCATTCAAACATTTCTTTTAGTTTTTTTTTTCGCCTTGTGTTAAATTTTAAAATATTTTCTCGTGTAGCTGTTGGCACTTAACATTCGCTGCCTGTCTATAATATTTTTGTTGTATGTCTATTTTTTTTGACGTGGGTAATTATGTACATTATGAAAAAATTAATTATGCAAGTGCGTTGCGCAGAGTAACTCAATGTCTGTGTCTGTGTTTGTGTTTGTGCTTGTGTCTGTGTTTGTGTTTGTGCTTGTGTCTGTGTAGATAATTGAGCTTTCATTTTTTTTGTGTGTGTGGAATCCTGCAGCAGCATAAACACAATAAACAAATTCGGCATTTATGGGCCAATTCAAATTTGAATTAAAAAGCATCTAGTTTGGCCGGGTTAAAAGTTAAAAGAGCCAGCCACTTCCCAGAAACTATATACATAAATAATATACACAATATGAATGGGTATTCGCGCACAAATCATGGTGGGGCATATTTTTCCCTTTCATTTTTCCTTTTTAGTTGTTGTCTTTTGATCTTTGTTTTTGGCTAATGTTATTTATTCTGCCTTAATCATTCGCATTTTTGCTTTTCGTTTTTTGAGGTCAATTAGCATTTTGTTTATTATTTAATGTTAAAACCTATTATTTTTACTCATAAAGTTCGCAATACCCTGGAAACTTTTCCAACATAAAAGCCCATTAAGCGTTAATTGTATTTTAATAGCCAACAACTTTTAAACTACTCCAAAATTCCAGGAAGTCACGTGTAATTCCTCTTGGTTTTTTTTACGATTTCTTAATTGAGTTAAAGCTAAAAACATCAAGCTGACATAGTGTTTTATTTTTAAAATTTATTACCTTTTGGTTTTTTTTTTACCTTCCCACATTTTAATTATTGCTTTAATGTGCTTGTGTTGTTTTCTATTTGGCTTATTGCTCGTAATTTTCATTCTCTGCTTCCCTTAACAAAAAAAAAAAAAAACATTCATTTTTTGTTTTTGTTTTGTTTTTGGCGCAGATTTGTTTGGTTTTTAATTATCTATGTATGTGTGTTTAGATTGTTTTTGCTTGTAAATAATGCAGACATCAATTGCAAATTGAAACAAATTTATGAGCCACCCCTCTCCGCAACAACTGTAAATACAAAGTGCTTATCTATGTTTGGCTGCGATTTGTGATCTATAAATTAGATCTTCCCACTGTGGCGGCGCTTTGCCACAGAATAGACAGATACCGCTCTCTCTCTCTCCCTCTCTCTCTCTTTCTCTCTTGATTTTGGCAGAGCAAAAAAAAAAATGACCACAAGTTAGACAAATGACTGTTGCCTGTGGCAGAAGTTTATAAAAATAAGCTTCAACATATTTTACACCCACCAAATGAAACAAGAGTGGTCCTAGAGAGAGTGTGTCCGACGAGGCGATACCCTGTAGCCACAGTCACCTCAAAGCTCGCAATCTGGAACGTTACTTGAATTTATGAAAATCGCATATAAAGGCGGTAATTAATGAAAGAGCGAAAAGGTGGGAGAGTAAGCTGTGCAAGCTAATTATTTTTTCTCTATTTCTTGGATATGAGTTCACTTTTAATACAAAAAAGATTTACTTTCGACGTTCAAGTCATAAATATATGATAGCAAAAATATATCTCTTTTATATTTGGGTGTATAGGACGCACATAGGTTTAGAGACCCGAATGATGATGTTGATTAATAGTATAAATATTTTTAATTAATAATGATGACTTTGAGCATATGCACAGCTTTACTTAATACTTCCGTACACATTCATAACGAATACAGGGTATAATGAGGAACATAAACGAAATAAAGAAAATTTTGGCAAAATCTTCGGCACAGCCGCATCGTTATGGTTGGGAAGTGTTTAATTTGATGCTGTCGGTACGGGAAACTAGGCGACAAGTGTCATAATCTGCGCAATCCCAAATGCCACCCACAGCCGCTTCTCATGGCCAATACCCGAGACGCTCTCCACGGACGAGCTGCCAGACGTGCAGACCCCCAAATGAAATAATTCATATTCATGTAGTTCGCTTAGAAAACCACTCAAATCCATTGATGCGACTGCTCTTAAATAAATATTTAAAGGAAAATAACATTAAAATGTCACAGCGACTTATTATAATTTATAATTTATAAGTAAAATGTGCTGTGCTCCATGTGACTTATTTTTAGTGAGGGAATTCAATAAATCAATAAACATATAAAAATACTAAAGTAGGCCTCCAACATAATTAATTAAAAGTATATATAAATATATTTTCTTGAAACGAATGTTGGCAAAATTGAAAAAGAAAAATGACATGCATATGTTTTGGATATACATAATAAGAGAATTCTCTAAAGAAACTAACATATTTATAGAATTTTACTTAAGAATTAAAACTAAGTCAAATGTTAGAAAACATTGACTGGCAAATACGGAATATAGGGTATTAGACAGATCGTAGTCTCTATAAAGAGATTAATTAAAATACAATGTTGCCGCCATAAACATGTCTAGCACTCTGTGCCGGAGATTCCCTGCGTACAAATAAAAGAATAGACTCGCGTAAATAAATGTGAACTGACGACTTAACGATTTATAGATAATCTGATAATCTAGAGTCTTTCGAGAGATGCTTTTGTTTATTTTTGGCACTTTGTTTTAATTGCGTCGGCAGGAAGTCCTTGCACAATGCTCGAAATAATCGAAATGTTTACTTTTCACGCAGTTGTTTGAGCAACCGACGCCAATCCAAATCGATGGGCAGGCCAACCAAATCGAAGCATGTCCAGACAAAAGCCGTGCTCAGCCGTACTCGAAAGATCCCAACGAGCCGCTAATCGAGGCAGTGTCAGGGTCAGATTGGATGTGGTCGAGTCATGTCTTCGCGGCGCAGCTCCTTTCGGCGCAGAGAGAAGCCGGCATTCGCGCGGTTCAAGGATCATTGCCGTCACTTTACGGCGTTTATGTTCAGCAATGTTGGCATCATACTCCTAGTCACATTTTATACCATTGGCGGCGCCTTCATCTTCCAAGCAATTGAAATTTTCGAATACGAAAAACTCAAGACAGATAAACCGTATCGTTTTATCGAGCGCAACGCAAGCGGCGATTGCCTCAGTCGCATCTGGGAGCTCACGGCGGAGAACATAAGTTTCTACGATCGACAGGCCTACAGAAAACGGTATGCTAGAAGAGTTATTGTGTTTGGTAAATAGTCTCACTTAGCTCTTGTTTTTTCTTTCAGTGTTAATGATGTGCTGCTGGACTATCAACGCGCTGTGGTTAGGAAACAGCTGCTGGGCCCCGATGTGGATCATCAGTGGAGCTTTTCGGGCGCATTTCTCTACTCGCTGACTGTCATCACGACCATTGGCTATGGCAATATAACGCCCAGCTCCGATTGGGGCAAGCTGGTGACCATACTCTACGCTATTATTGGCATGCCGCTCTTTCTGCTCTATCTATCCAATATAGGTATGAATGTAAGAGTTATACATATAAACACGTGAAATAAACACATAGGAACCCAGACTAGATACTTACATACTTGAATTCATGAGAATTGCATAGAAGGGCGACATTTAAAGTTACGCTCTACACAAATAGCAGCTTATATTTCTATTTTAATTTAAGTAATTTAAATTCATTTAAATTTCTTTAACCTACGCAGGCGACGTGCTGGCCAAATCCTTTAAATGGATCTACTCAAAGGTCTGTCTCTGTCGCATTTGTCCGGGCGTGGCCAAGCGGCGCATAATCCGAGAGCGTCGCAAATTGCGACAACTAGCTCGAGCGGTAAGTGTACATAGAACATCTAGTAGAATTTTTGTAGTCATGTTATCTATCTCAACACAGCTGCAGCTGCACAACATGGAGAGCGCGCGCGGCAGCAGCAGCACCAGCTACTCCAGCACTAGCAAGAGCTCCACGAACAGCAGCAGCAGCAGCGGTAGCAGTGACTACACCAAGAGCTCTGTTCAAACCTCCAGTGTGCTGGATGTGCCCTTTTCCGATTCAGATTCCGATATCGAACGCGAGATACGCGGCAGCACGGATGAAATAACGGTGCCCCTAACTGTCTGTGTATTCGTGATGGTCAGGTAAGGAACGTTTCCAACTGGCATTATATAACATTGATCAATTTGGTGCAGTTATATATTATCGGGTGCCATACTCTTTGGACGCTGGGAGGATTGGAACTATCTGGATGGCAGCTATTTCTGTTTCATCTCGTTGAGCAGCATTGGATTCGGCGACTTGGTGCCGGGTGATCGTGTGGTAAGGCTTTTATTTAATCCGTCTTTTGATAGAGGGTAATACAAATCGAAGAAAAATATGGTTTTTGTATGGAAACCTTTTCATTTATCATCTTGATTTAAAAATCTTTGTTTTTCGCCAGATAACCGCCGATAAAGACAAGGTCGAGGTGAGCTTCATTTTATGTGCTGTTTATCTGCTGCTGGGAATGGCCTTAATTGCCATGTGTTTCAATTTGATGCAGGTGAGTATCAGAAGATATGTGTATAATGAATTCATATAGACTGTCTGTTCTGCTTTTAGGAACAAGTCATTCATAATATGCGCGCTGTAAAGCGCGGTTTTAAGGCCTGCTTCCGCTGCCGCAGCTCTTAGCCAATAATTTGTTGACGTACAAAGAACCAAAAATCATCAATTATGTTATATATTAGTTAACAGTTAAGCCGACCATTAGTTTAAGTAGATATGTTCATGTATATATGGTAGCAAGAATGTGTTCCTTTTTTTGTATTTTTTTTTTTTTTGTAAATCAATCTATTAACTCTGTTTTTAAATACTAGCGTAGAATGATTACATTATTAATTTCTAGTAGTATATAACAATACAAAAGTAGAATGCTAGATACTGCTGCCCGTTGGCCATTCCTCGAATTTGTACTCTGACAATTGACTATGTTTTATATATATATGTATAAGTATATAAATGAGAAATAATTTATGTTTTTTAGAATATAATATTTTCCCCTTTTATAATCGAAGAAAATTGTTTAACAATACGGCATTTAGTGCAATCTAGAGCGGTCAAATTCTTTTTCTTTTAAGCAATCTCGCCTGCTCCGATTTGGACATTTGCTTTTCTAAACGCTTTTCCTTCGCTATTAAGGATTTGACCTGACGATCATGCTCCAATGGCGCTGTGCCTGACAGCTCCGCATAGCTGGGCAAGGTTTCAGAATACTTTTCCACACAGGCATCCTTAAATTGCTTGCTTAGCTCTATAGAGACGTGACTATGTCCCGGCGAGGTGAGCATGTCAAAGGCGGTGCCCTTAAGGGCCTCGAATTGCTGACGCGTTTTGCCCGTCACCTGTTTGCGTCGTATTTTCGTTTTCGTAATGGGCACGGCCGTTATCTTATGTGTATCGCTCGCAGCTAGCGACTTTTTCTGATCCACAATCAGCTTTCGATGACGCACCTCTAGTTTCATGCTGGGACTCGGCGGTTTTGTTGATGATACTTTAGCCAGCTTTTTCTTCTTCTGCAGCGGTGACCACGATATTGGACCCTTCGGCTGGGTGTTGGTTGTGTTGGGCTTGCGGCGTGCATAGGTTCGCACGGGCGGCGCTTTATGCATAAAATTACATTTAGCCGTATCTCCAGTCTTTGCCGAAAGAGCCGAACTGGAAGTGGATGCTGGTCGCGGCGCTGAATCGTTAGCGACAGGCAGCGAGGGGTTAGCCACCGGGGAAGCGGCAGAAGACGACTCCAGGAACGGCAAAATAGAATCAATACTAACGGGTATGGGTAAAGTAGACTTCTGCACGGGTTTGCAACGCGCTTGCTCCGGCGTCAGCAGCAGTGAGAAATTCTCCTTGTCAGCCCTTATGACAGCCCTTACGGAGGTGCCACTGGATGGTGTGCTCCTGGCCAATGGTCCGGATATGTTTGCAATATGCTGCTCCAAGTTGAATCTCTGTGGTGTGCCAGCGCCAGCTACGACTCTAACGTCGCCCAATTTAGAAGCGGGAAGTATTAACTGGCCCGTTTGTACATTGGCAGCGGCAGCATCGCAGCAACGATGATTTGGTATTATGTTCTGAAACGTAATCCGTCCCTTGATGATCTGCGGCATAAAAAGCTCACTTTCGAATCCCACACAATCGACCAGCACCACATTGTTACCGGACAATAGCTTAATTTTGAAAGTCAACGCTGCGCCTGGCGTTTGGCTTGGCATTTTTTTTGTATATATCAATTGATGATTTTGCAAAGAACGTGCAGAGCACTTTGAATGTATTTTAAGCAGCTGTGTAAATATTAAAATAAACAACCCTGATACAATAATTACTATAAAACTAAATTTGACACATCTGCAGTAGGTTAAAAATAATGTATATATTATTGTTATTAGAGGCGTTGATGGGACTTTTTCGATAGCCGCAGAGCCTCAATAATCGATTCAATTGGCGTCCAATAACTATCGATATCAATGAGCACTCACGCGTGTTGTCATTATAGTTACCGTGAATGAATTCTAGAAGTGCAAAGTCTGTAAGATTACATTATATTTAAAAAAGGTTTATATATAGCAATCATCCCACATATACTGGAAAAACTTGTTTTGGCTCAGGGCTGCATAGTAATCCAAGTTCAAATGAAGATGACATCAGTAAATTATTCCACTGTTAAAGTTCAGTGATTATACATAGCTCTGTTAACTATTTTCTAACAGCTGTTCAATTTAAAATGTGCACCTATATTTTCCATTTTTAAACAAGACGCTAGAGCAATGTGTTTATGCGTGTTAGCAATTGCGCACTGAATTGCATTTGTTGTTTTTAATATTTGGCACACTTTAATAACAGTGCACAAATCCTGCTATATATTGGCTGTTAATGTTAACAACCTATTAACGAAATGTTAGTTAACAGTTGGTCAAACAAACGAGCGTAACGCAGAAACAAACAAGAAAGTTATATTAAATGCAATAAATAATTTGCAATCAACAAAAAAAACAAAATAAATCTGAAAGGTACGCAAAACACAGTGCATACGTGGCAAATATTATTGTGTAGTGATATAGTAAAATAATGGGGGCGAACAACAAGCAAATTAGTGTATATGGTATATAAGAGTGCAGATTGCTGGTTAAACTTAGGCGTAACACATAATTAAAGTAAATGTGTTTTTTCAATTTAATGGTAATTCCTGCACGAGTGAAAAAAACAGGCTGAAGTGTTTGATGATTCATGGCTTCAAAGGAAAGATACGAATAGAAATGAAAAGGTGGCAATGACGCGATATATTGACTGCCAACCACTCCGCGCCTCACCTCCCCCCCCCCCCCCCCCCCTCCCTTCAGCACGACACAAACAACGAAAAGTAGCAAAAACACAAAAACACGCTCAACTCCAAAAAGAAAAAAGAAACCCCAATTATCTTTTATATAAAAATACACTTGTACATTAATAATGCATGTCAAAATACATGTGCGTGTGTGTGTGTGTGTGTGTGTGTGTATGTAGCGTTTAGTTTTGCAAACTACAAAAGAAAGCGATTGTTGCAACCATTTAAATCATATGTGTATATATGTATGTATGTGTTTTATGCATATGCATAGTATATACGCATAGCCCAATGTACGAATAGATGCATGTCATCATGTTGTCCGTATTGCCACACTTATCTCACACTTCACATTCCGATAAGTGGAAATTGATTTATTTATTTGCTTCCGCTGAAGCGGCAAAAGCTTACTAACAAAAGTTAATCAATACCAAATAATATAATGTGCGATGTGGTTTATAAATACTTTTCTTTCTTGTGGTTTTTCTATAATTGCCGCCTACAAAACTTGCTCTAATTGGAGAACATATGCATGTAGCTCGATAACGTGCGTGCGTGTGTGTGTGTGTGTGTGTGTGACATTTGCAGGCGTTACACTATTCGCGTGGACTTTGTTTAGTTTGGACCGACGGCGACCCATTAAGATAAATCTCAGTCTAATGGCAGAATCGCTCCACTTGTTAGGCAATTGTGGGCCCGCATTGAAACCAAATTGATTCGAACTGCTGTGGGCTTACTTTTCTCTAAGCAACTGGAAAAAAATAACAAAATAAATATTATTGCTTAAAGACGATTTTGAAATACCCTCTATTGCTATAGGCTTACAGAATTTATATCTTAAAAGAGTAAAAATAATTATGAAAAATTTACCACAGTAAAGAATTTAAGATTCGATTTTCGATAATAATCTCCGATCTAAGAGCCCTATTGTAGCATTATTTCAACCATAGTAGTATTTTGTAATTACTTTGGCAACATGTTAAAAACAGAATAAATTATAAAAGCACAATGAAAATCAAATAAATATAAATAGGAAAATAAAATGTCAAAGCTTTGAAATCTGTTTTCCTAGACTATTTTAGTTTGTATTAGTTTTCAATCGAACTTTGAATCGACGAATTTGATGAATTTAATAGCATTTTTAGGAAATCCCAGTCTTATCGCCTGACATAGTCATAATACCCTGCCAACAATCAAAAACTAGGCAGCATGGCCACCCATTAATGTTTTTTGTACCCAGCTGGTTTTCTTATCAAGCTTTAAAAGTACACAGACGAGTATCACACGTTTCGGCTTTGCTTGGTGTCAGGGAAAAAGTGTCCATGTTTATCAACTAGTATTAAATTTTGCATTCAATCTTATTCGTATATATTTTCAGTGATTCACCTGCTCTCACTCACACTATTAACGCGACTGGTTACCTGAAAATGGATGATATTACGGTGCACGATAATGGCTACCAGAACAACTCGTACTGTCTGGTGGTGGCCAATCGCACGACGATCTTTACCAGCGCCTATAATGGCATACCCGAGACTCTGATATTGAATACGATCTTTTGGGTGCTGCTCATCCTTCTGTTTACCACGCTGCGTCATCAGGCGAGCGACTATCGGCTGGCGCTAGTCAATGCCAATGGCACCAAGAAGCGTTGGACGGAAATATTTTATTCGCGTGCCGCCAGCGTTGTGGAACCGCAGCCGGGCACATCCACGCAGGAGAATCCTACACCCAGGCCCAGTGTGGATTCACATCAATCGCAGCAAGGCGACTCCACGCCGCTGTCGCCCATACAAACCGAGCCCGGCATTTTCAGTTGGATAAAAGTCATCTTTAAGCTGCGCAAGCAAACGATTCTGCTCCACTCTGGCCCGGATGCGGTGCACTATTTGTCGTTTCAGCAGCATTTAATGATTGTCATGTCCGTGGTCACCATCATTTCGCTGGGTATTATTTTGCCCATCAATTTCTTGAATGGACCCACGGAGACGCCGTACGATGTTAATGCCTTTGGACGCACCACAATGGCCAATTTGTCGCCGAATTCGTCCTGGCTGTGGGTGCACACCATCATAACCATATTGTATATACCGCTGGTGGTGCTTGTCATGCGACGATCCTCGGGCCGCAATGCGTTCAAAAAGGCCGCAACGCGCACCATCATGATATCAAATATATCCATCAGGTTGTTTTAAGGTTTATTGCTTCTAAAGTTATATGTATTGAATATATTCTTTGATTTTGTTTGCAGTGATCGCAACAAGACCGTCATACGCAATTATATGCAGGAGCTGTTCCCGGACGTGACCATCGAGAGCGTCAGCATTGCGTACAACATTTCACGCCTGTTTGTCCGTAACGCCGAGTACGAAAGGGCGCACGATGCACGTGTTTATTGTGAACACCATCGGGATCGGGACACGCTAATGGCCAAGCCGGAGATGTGCTCGTGCAAGAAGGAGAATGCCTTCGAGTATTATCAGCGCGAGGAGCGCAAGCTTTCCGGGGATGTGGCCCGCTTGCGAGCTTCGACCATGAATGAGCCATTGGACATTGCTTTTCTGACCGTCTCCACGGTTCAAGAGGCCCAGAATATCGTCACCCACTTTACGCCCGGCACATACAGACAGTGGCACGTTATGTTTGCACCATCGCCCGATGACATCTTCTGGGAGAATCTCAATGTGAACAAGAGCCATTGGTATTTGAAATTCGTTTGCGTGAACGTTGTGCTCTTCATTGTGCTTTTCTTCCTAACCACACCGGCGATGGTGGTCAATTTGCTGAACAGTCGTCCCTGGCTAAAGGATACGGAGACCAAAATATCACCACTTGTATCCGAGTTCTTGCCCACATTGATGCTGTGGACGCTGTCGGCCCTGATGCCAGTCATTGTTTCTATTTCGGACAAATGGATGGGTCATTACACCCGCTCCAAACAGAACTATTCGATAATGACCAAGTGCTTTGGCTATTTGCTGCTGATGATTCTTATATTGCCCTCATTGGGCTTAACTTCGGCGCAGGCACTCTTGGAATGGGGGCTAACGAACGAAACTGGACGTTGGGAGTGCATTTTCTTGCCGGATCGTGGCTCGTTCTATGTCAACTATATAATAACCGCTGCCTTTATTGGTACCTCATTGGAGCTGTTGCGTTTCCCCGAGCTAATCGTCTATATATGGGCACTCCTGAAGGCCACCTCAAAGGCGGAGACGCCATATATACGTAAGTCCATATTGATTGAGTTCCCATTTGGCACACACTACGCCTGGACAACGCTCGTCTTTACCATATCCATCGTGTACAGCGTATTCTGCCCATTGATCATGCCTTTTGCTATGATCTATATAAGCCTGAAGCATATGGTGGATCGCTATAATCTGTACTTTGCTTATGGACCATCCAATATGATATCGCGCAAAGGTGGCAAAATACATTCCACGGCTGTCACCATGACCAAATTCTCGGTCTTGATATTGGTTCTCGTTATGGCAATGATCTGCTATTTCCGAGGCGATGACGGCATGGCACGCTTTTTGATACTCATCATAACCTTGGCCATAACCGTAACGTTGTTCATCTTTATGTCGCCCATCAAACGGTGTGCGGCAACGCGACGTCCAAGCATTGTGGAAATCGCGGGCCCTGCGCCCGCCTATATACCCGATGTACTAAAAACACGCCCGGAAACCAGCGCCAGGCCCTCGGTTACGGGCTATGCAGGATATGGCTCGGACAATGTTTCCGATTACGACAGCTCCCAGTACAGTGTCAATAGCGTCGAGGCGTAAGAGCATGTATTTTTTTAAAAAAAATTTTCTAGCTAAAACGAGACTTGATAAGCAATCAAAGTGTTGAGACATTTGCATATTTTTGTATAAGGATTTTAAAAGCCGATGTAACTTTTAATCTTGATGTTAAAAAGGCTTTGTTTGCAATATGAGATGGAAAATGTGATATCAATTAGCCTCGTGAATTGCGTCTGAGTTCAGTTGAATAACGTTTTCAAAAAACGTGCCCCGCTGCGC